GATGCACATTACAATGCTACCTAACACACGTGATACTTTCCCACGTGATTAGTCACGATCCTAGCGTGAAAAAAGAGATAATACAGAAAAAAAAAAAAAAAAAAATTACGACCGAAAAATCGCGAAAAATTTAAACGAAAAATTTTACGAAATATCCTTTTACAAAATTTAAGATGATATTGATAATCTCGTAAGATGGCTTCTTTAATAATTTGAATCTTACTTTTCCAATTTAATCATTCGACATATGAACCAAATTTTTATTTATACTCCATCTTTTTAAAAATCTTATTCTACTTAAATGTATGCAATCTAACGATTAATTAATCTTTTAAAATTTTAAAAAGTAATATCACGTCTCGTAGGAATCTCGAAAATATGTATGCAAATTAAAAGAATGGATTTGAAAAGGGGAAAAAAAAGAGGAGGAAGAAGAACTAAAAATGGAAAACAGTAACATCGATAACAATTTCCTATTTCCCTTTTAACCGTTCAGTGACAATACCGATGATATAACAATTTTTAAGACCGTGAAGATGCCACAACTCTTGCGTAATCTATGTGTATTCCATTTAAAATTTTACATTACTTACTCGTAAACGTGAAACATTACTATATATATATATGCAAAGAAACATTACAAAGTGAAACAAAAATAAAAAGCAATCGTTCGTATTCTACTATATCTTCAAATTTAAAAATTTAAAAAAAATGCTCGATGTAAATCCGTTTGTTTATCCCAATTTGAAATTTTAATCCGTTAGTTTATCCCAATTTCCATCACGCGAGAATGAAAAAGATTTTAGAATCAACCCGAATATATCTAAAATTCTTTTGCTATTATATTAACACCTGAGAAATATCGAAAGTGTGATATATTTGATGTCTTTCGAGAGTAAACAGTTCGATGTATTTATAGAACATTTTATCAGGGAGTTAATACAATAACCAGTAAATTCTGGAGACACGGCCTTGCGAATCGCAAACGTATCCGTTGCAATGCGTTATGACGATGTCGTCGACGTTGCGTAAGCGTTAGGCATCTCATTCAATCGAGTTTTCTAACATAAGTGTTACATCTGAGTCACCCTTTCACACTGATTTATAGCAGACAATCTTCTGCAAATATTAGAAGAAACATGGATTGTCGCCTCTGCACTAACGTAAAAAACGATTAAATTCAACGAACCCTATTTTTTCAACCAGTCATCAGTCTTTTAATAATCAGTTTCGTAAACTTGCTATGAACTTTGTTGAAAAAAGATTCTTATACCGTTTTAGAAGAAAATAAAAGGAAATTGTAATGGAAAGAAATATTCAAGTGTGGATTTAAATCCTTTAGATCGTTTAAAATCTAAGTTTAAGATTTGGAATTTAAAATTAAGGAGTTTAAACGCTAGAAATATGAAAAATCTGAATCATTAGAATGAAAAGTTCCAAGTTTGGATTCTGGATTTTGCAAGATGGATGTAAAATCAAAGATTTAGAACTATAGAAATATAATATACATGCTATTAAATATAGCGATTGATATCTCTAAAATTTTTTAATAATTGAAATTTGATAATTTCAAATTCCTTAACTCGAAGAAATATAACATTGAAGAGAAGAGATAAGAGAAGAAGAAAAATATTGGAAACATTAAGAACCAGATTTCTCGTGATGCATTAAAGGCCAGCAGGCTGATGATCTTACGCGTATATACCACGAACCAAACGAATCGTGAAGTTGCGCGCCTTTCGCTTCCGGTTCACCGATCTCTCCACATTCGTTAAGCCGTATTCTCTGTTCTCGACATTTATGTGACCACTTTCGCTCGATCCAACGTGTATTTCAACTTGGTACGCCGTGTCGAATTCATCTCTCCGATTAATAACAATCACGTAGCACGAATTTGCAATCAACGTGCTCTGAATATTCGTTTTAATCTTGATCCAATAATTTACGATATGATTTTAAAAAAGGATATGTCTTTGTTCATTTTTTTGTTTCCTGATTTTTATTATATATAGTATATATACTAAATATATATAGTATATATATATATATATAAATAATATATATAAATAAAAATAACAAATAATATAAATAATTTATTAAATATAAAGTTATTTGAAATAATTTTATGGAACCTATTCTCAAAAATATTATTCTGATTATTTCAATATTCAATATTTAACGATCATTATTTTATTATCGAAATTATTTTTCACCGCGAGAATGACGTCATCCAAGATGGCGGCTATATTACGAAAATCCTATGAATTCATCTCAATATTGTGAAAGATTTTAAATATCTATAATATTAAAGCTAAAATGCAGCAATTTCTGTAACGAAACCTAGGCAATTTAGAATCATTTGGATAATCAATTTATGCAGGAACTAGTCAGCTAACAATAAACAATTCCTATACAGATCTCACATGGATGAATGCATCGTGTCCGGTATATACATGTTCTTGTATATTCACGAGGCTCTTTATTTCATGCTATTTCACGAAAAAAATGCATACACGAAAGAAAAATCGTTCGTTCCTCAATAAACTTTGCGTTGTGTTACATATACAATTGTCTATCGCGTATTTTTTTGTGTCGAATTTATTTCGAATCTCGATTCAAGAGACGCCATTAGAATATCATTATAAAAAAAAATAAAATTTGGAAGTTTCACTTACAGAAGACGTTCTCGGACTTAAGTATTGCATCTTCATCATCCCCGATGTCATCCAGGCCTCACATTCAGCTTCTGCACTCACTTTTTACAACAATAATCACTTATTACAATAAAACATTACGCGATCACTGACCAATTTGAAAATTCCATTTCAATATGGCGGTTCAACTAATTAACTTTTCAGTACATAGAGCGCGCTATGAATAATCGATACGATTCGATACATATCGATAATTCAGTGTTCCGAGTGATTTCATTGGTAGAAGTGATCTTATTGGTCGAAAAAGAAGTAGAAAAATATCAAAGATCAAGAAAAATTAGATTTTTTTTCAATTTACCCATAAATTTTATTTTAAAGATTTATAGAAATTAATAAATTTTTATGTTTATTCCTCCAAATTAAAAGTAAGTAATAGATTAATTTTCTGGTAAAACATTTTTTCTTTTCTTAATCGATTATTACCGATGGCAGATTCTCGATGGCGCTACTAAATTCCATGAATCTGAGCCAGATGCCAGTAAAGTCTAACTCTGTTTCGTGCTGCTCTCTATAGGAGATCTCACTAACAATGTAAGATGATTCTTCTTATCATTATTTATTACATTATTTATTACAATTAAGATTTCTTTTTGCATATTAGATTTAAAAGATAATTCTACAGGGAATATTGTCAATCAAAGAAATAAAATATGTATATTAAAAAAAAAATTTTATAATTATAATTATTACTATCAATTACTTATAACCTTAAAAACGTTTGAAAACGAAAGTAAATTACACAGTAAATTATTAACTATATCATAAAGAAAAATATATTAAAATTATGATTCTCAATTATGAATTGATAAATTTTTAAATATTAATTTAATTAAATAAAAATAATGATGAAATAATATAGTATAAATTTTATCTTAGAAAATTATAATTTAATTTAAAAAAAAGATCTAAAATTCAAAATCATTAAATGAAATTTCAGAAGACAGTATATGACAAAAAGTAAGTATGAAATATTATAATTATTATCGATAATGAGGATATATAACAGGTTTCATGAAAATTAAATTGATCAATTTATAGATTCTTTTTAATAGCTTCCATCTTCATATAAATAATCAATTAATTCTTAATAAATGTTTTAATATCCTCTAATAACCTATAAAGTATTCTTTCTTTTAAATTAGTCATCTTCTGTTAAATTATTCACGATATAAATAAATATTTATTTACGATATTTGTACGAGAATGGATTATGTTTAATTTTAACTAGGCTTTGTTCGCAATTCACGAGATATGTCTTTTTGACAATATATTGTTACGCTTAATTCAAATTATAAATTTTTAAATTTAATTCTGTGTCCCGCAGAAATGATCATCACGTGTATCTGTTTACAGTTGCTAATGTTATCACATGTCGGTAAAAATGGCAACTTAATAAGTTAAATATGACATCATTGCAAAGAACAACGAGCATATTGACGATTAAATTTTTATTCCGAAAAATATAATTAAAATTTAATTTTTATTTTATCTTCATTTATACTTGACAAATATATTATTCTTTTTCTTATTTCAATCACAAATATTTAAAGAATATATATCTATACAATATAATTATACGAGTATTATTGGAATTAATTTTTGTCTAATCTGATCTATGAAACCAGATTCTTTTCTATTGCATATAAAATATTATTATTATAAACTATTTATTATATGATCTATTTATTTATGCCTCTAATCACGACCACTAATCTGTAATTATTTTATTTACGTAGTAATATAAAAAAATATAATTAAATTATATATACGTACATATAGTTATTTCAGTCATATTAAATTAAGTAATTAAATTGAATAACTAAATAAAAAATTACAATTTTTTTTTTACAGATGATTTTTTTCTACATACCTTATCATGGACCATGAAAATGTCATATTTTGTAATTTTTTCAACAAAAATGCCATTTTAAAAATGAAACTCCAATACATATATATTATCTTGTTTCATTCTTTACCACGTCTCGGTGATAATTCGAATGGCAATTTTTCGAGCAGTTCTCTAATTGTACTCTCAATTTGCAAGTCAAACAGCCGGAAGAGTACTATATTTACAAAGGCATGAGAAAACAGCTTCGATGACGTCACTGTTTAAAGGTCTGTCGTACTCTTCTGGCGCTATTCAGTACTGTTTTATTTCTGCTTAGGTAGACCGATAGAAAGAAAGAGAAAGATAAATCATGAGATTCGAGAGGGGAAGAGGAGATATGCGAACATCGAAAAGAAAAATAGATCGAAATCCCTTGATTTTTTCACTCGATCGTGGCCAATTATAAAATCATGCAAGGCGAGAATATGGTAAAAGACTATCGTCTCTTGGAAACAGGAAGGGGTTGGTTGTTTATTTTACCATTAAGTGAAATTTCGCGTGATCGATAAAAGTCACTAAAAATGACTGCATACAAAAATTAGGCGCAATAATATTTTATACTGTAAATTATCTCTGCTATTAAATTATACGACTTCCATAAAATCCAATAAATTAATTAAATATCATAACTCAATGTTGAAAAAAAAAAATTAAACAAGTTTCATCAAGAATTGTCTACTGAACTATATAGCCTGAAAATAACCGCAATTATTTTTAATATAAAGGAATAAAATTTTTTAAGTAAATGCTTCTCCAAAGAAAATCGTTTTACGTGTGTATTTAAATTGAATATTATTTTATTTCGAATAATTTTTTTTTTTTATTCAATATAAAAGACAGATTAATTTAATTTTTCCAGGTCCAGATGCTAGAATGGCATTCAAAAGATCTCAACGAATCGAAGCACAAGTCGTGGAAGCTATCCGCAGATTACAAGCCATACAAGGATCAACTCCCCAGGAAATTAGTAATTACATTGCTCAAGAATATAATATTCCTGGTTCTGAAATCAGACCACATGTCCAACTCGCTCTCAAGAGAGGCGTAACTTATGGAATTCTTCAACGTTTAAAGGGGTAAACGTGTAACAAAGTTTTGTAAAATTTTCAATAAGATTTCTTCTAGATCCTTATACTTTTTTTTCAATCAAGAGAGAATAATTTCTTTGAAAAAAAAAAAAATATATACAATTAATATAATGCAAGTTTTTCTTTTGTCTTCGTAAAAATTGAAGTTTTATAATATAAACATTATTAAATATTCAAAATATTATTAATAAATTTTAATTCGTTATATATTCGTTACAAGTAAAGTTCTTATTAATTATATTATCATATATAAATGAAATTTTCATTCATTGAATTATTTTGAATAAAATTTTCGCTTATCTCTTCAATAATTATTACATTATACAATAATGTAAATCTTTGACGACATTTTATCTCTTCAATAATTCAATATATAATGACGTGAATAGATTTTTTCCAATATTACTAAAAACTAGTTATTAATACTAAAAATTAATTACTAAATTTAAAAGATTACCGAATCTCATAGAAAAAGATAAAAATTAATATATTGAATGCCATAAAATAGTTAAGAAATCCACTAGATACTAGAGATTATTAAATCTCAAATTACTTTTTCACTATAACTCATCGCAAGAGATCTCGATGACATTAAAGAACGAAGTTTAAGGATAGATTTGTTGAATATATATTTTCTTTTCAGAGGATGTTACACGTACAATCCAGACTTCCTCAACGGTCAATGCATAAGTGGTGGCGACGCAACGGTCGAGATTCCTTGTAAAGGAAGAAGAAGAAGAAGAGGACGTTCAAGAAGAAGAGGGCGAAGACGTAGAGCTGGAAGATCTCGTCGTAGATCTCGTCGTAGAAAAAACTCGCGAAGAAGAAGATCTTCCTCGAGGCGTAGACGACGTGGAAGGAGGAGAAGAAGGGAAGAATTTCCGAAGGAAATCGATGGGCTGGACTTGACCAAACAACCGACGAAAAGCAGCAGCCTCTTAACGAAAGACAGTCCACAAAGCAACCATTCGATCTCTGAAAATTCTGAAGGAAAGCAAGAATAACCCTCCAACAAGATATCCATTCTCTCCATTTTACGATCGATTCAAGGTGCAAAGATTGACTCAAGAAGAAGAATATAGATGCAAGTATAAAATGCATATACAATATTTGCTTGAATCCATTTAAATGCATTTCCCTGTTTAAACACTTTTTTATTGGAATATGAAATTTTATTTTCTTATAGAATATTAAGTATGTAAAAACGTATGTTTATAACATACTCCTTGAAAAACTTGCATAATATTACACATTAATGTGATCTTTGGTGACATTAAATTTCTTTTTACAGTATAATGAAAATATTTTGAATTCATCGACGAAGAAGACGAATTAAATAGAAATTCTAAGAAGATGAAATATCGATCATGCATACAAATTTTGATGAATATATTTTATTTTATAATTTTTTTTTTCTTCTTAGTCTTTTCATAGATATAAATTGAAATTTGATTTTTAATTCAATTCTATCTTTTAAAGAAAAATACGGTATAAATTTAAAAAATTTTAAGATACATAGAATCAAATATTTAAGTATAAATAAGATTAAAAAATTTTCATTCTAAAAATTATCGTGTATCAAATTGGAAATAAATTTTCATACAATTTTTATATAACAAACATTATACTTTGAAAAATAAAAAAATCTAATAACTATCTTTTTCAAAATTTCAGTATATATTATAAACCTTAGTGATATAAAAAGTTTATATGTTAAATAAATTATCAAAATTTTTATTTTATCAAATACAATAGCTTTTTATGTACATATCTATGTAAAAGTGAAATCATTTAGATTAAAAAATCTTGATAACAATTGATAATAATTGAAATAATAAATATCCAATATTTTCACATATAAACTTTAGTATATATTTAGTATATAGAAAAAAAAAGAATAGAAACGGAAAACGCCAACAATATTAAAAGCAGTGGCCGTTTCTCAGCAATGACGGCCCTGCTCACGGCCTTGTTGTCTAATGATAGTCTTGCTAATGATGCGTTCGCACACGCACACGTATAGTGGTAACGAGAGACTATTTTACCTACCAGTTCTCTATGGTTGGGCATCGTTCAAGCCAGAAACATTTAACAATAAGTAAATATATGTATACACAATGTGTATATTTGACTATCGAATAATTTACACTGGCCAACATCATAAGTCTTTGTTCTTCAAAAAGTTTCAGTCTTATTTATTTTGGAGAGAGTTCAAATCGCAATCATTCAACATTAAAAGTTTATTTTTGCAATTTTTTGTTAAAATATTTCACGATAATGATACTAATTGAGAATTATTTGAATTGCAGATCATTCGATCTTAAGTAAAAATTAAAAATGGAAAGTGAAAATTAATAGTCTGTAACACACGAAGTTCTTCTACATTTGAATAGAGAAGAAAAAAAAAAACAACTTTCTTAGATCCTTCATTAAATAAAAAATAAATGGAGTGGATCTGGTGACAATTTTAATCCATTTAATCAATAAATAATTATTAGTTTAATTATTTCATAATTGATTCATACCGATTACTAATCACTTGACTAAATAACAGGTTATCTAAGACAAATGAGTCCTTCAAGTTGATGTACGAATACATTGAATTTAAAACATCATGAAATATGTAAGATACTTATTTTTTTAAATTGATACGACGAAAGAATAAAGAAAAAATGAAAAATAAATAAAGGATCTCATCTTAATCTTCATGAACCTTTATAACTAAGAAGAAACAATACATCTCTAAAGACCGGAGGAGAAAAACTTGGTAAGTCACGTTTTCTAATTTTTACAAGAAAGTAGTTTTAAAATTGGACTTTATTTCCTTGTATTTTCTTTTTTTCAGTTGTGACCCCCTTTTACAATGTTCAATAAAATGATGTTCGGTATTCAATATGCTATGTTCATATAATAACTCACGCCATTGTCTCAACTAACGAGAGAATCATCATGACAATATTAAAATAACATAACAAATAAAGTAATAATATAATATTGAAATAAAAATTGGCAGCAGCGCTCCCTCGAAAAACATTCTGCAACTCTCTCTTATAGATCACGACTTCAATTTCAAAATCAATAAAAATGGACTTAATCAGTTTTTCTTTTTCTTTTTTTTTTTTTTTTTTTTTTNTTTTTTTTTTTTTTTTTTTTTTTGCCTACGGTTTTCAATTTTTAATAGAAACCGATCGAGTACAAACCGATAGATGAACATAAATTCCACTATCGTAAGAATGGTAGCGAGCGTTACACGACGCATGAATAAACGAATAATCATACGTATACACCGATAACAGTATCTCGAATAAAATCGTCAGTCGCATAATTACTCGAGAGGCACAGTCAAGATAAACCGGCTTGTTAAGAAACGTAACGAGCAGGTAACGTTAGACCCGGTGCACGCTATTGTGAGACGAACCGTGATTTACGATCGTGTAAGAGCATTCGGATAACTTCACCACGAGGAAACACGACCCTATCTCCTTTGCAGTCGATACCTTAGTTCGGATATACAAGAATATGCAGGATATTTCCGTAGCCAGATTAGGAAAGGTTTAAGGCTCTAAATGCATATGTATATGCAGAAAACTTGACAATAAACTTCATAAAGTTGTCGTGGTTAAATTATTGTGTATTTCGTTTCTGAAACGTCACCATGGAAATATGTCCTCTTGGAAATATTTCTTACGGCTCCAATCCACCAACTTGTCTTGTTCAATTTTGAAAGCGGTTTTATGAATGATTTATGATTTCAATATTTTAAATTCAAAGTTATAAATGATTCGGGATTGTGAATGACTTTCAGCATTGTCTTCGTGTCTCTCTTGATGCCATTAACATCGTCATTAAGGTATTTCTTCAGCTTTTGCATCAATACTATTATTTTATTTAAAGTAATTTTAGAAGTTAACTTAAAAATAATTTTAGAAGTGGTTCAGAATAATTTATAATTTCGATATTTCAAATTCAAAATTGTGAATGATTCAAGTTTGCGAGCATTGCTTTTTATTGTTCTCATATTTCTAGTTACATCATAATTTTGTCGAAATATTATCTTTTAACATTTTAGAACAAAGTCGTTGAAGAAATAAATAGAAAGAATGATTCAATTTTTTTTTATCAAAGCTTCTTTGGAAAATTGATAAAAATTATCAATTTCAAAAATTTATATTTTTTAAATAATTTCAAAATCAAAGGAAATGATGAATTAAATCTTCTCTATTTTTGCATAAAGTACGAAATATATTTTAATCTCAACAAAATTTTATGGAAGAAAATGATTTGGTTTTTTTTAACAATTACAAAAACAAAAAATCTAAAACCAAACCAATTTGATTTGTTAGTTCTAATGTTATAAAGTTAAGAGAGTTAATCAGATTCATCCAGAACCTTTCTTTATTACTTCTTTCTATTTTTCTCTCAAGTAACACTTTCAAAGTTGTTTTATAGTACCGGTCGTTTCACTACCACTTTGGTCACTTTCTCCAAAATCGATCCTAGTGGCTATTTAACTGCTGTAAATGTGCTTGAGAATATCCTTCCGGTTCCCATAACTTCTGCACAATAGAAGGTTTTAAGAATAAGATATAAGGATACATAAAAGATGCAAGATTAAATCATCATTGCGTTACGAAATAAATTAATAAAGAATAATGTTTTTCTAAAGGCCACAGAAATTAAATAGAATGATTCAAACTTTATAAATAAATTAATTAAAATATCATATTTCAAAAAAAACAATTGTTTCATCTTCAAAATATACACTAATCAAATTGACATTACAAAGTTTTTATATTTTCCGATTACAATTAAATTAATCGACACAAATCATCTAGAATAATTCAGTCCAAAATTTCATTTTAGATATTCATCAAAAAAAAAAAAAAAAAAAAAAAAAAAAAGAAAGAAAAAAAAAGAAAGAAAAAAAATTAGAAAAAGAAACTTACTTGAAACAAAACCAAAAAGAACGAGATTTATTAAAAAAAAAAAAAAATTATAAGATCGTTGAAACAAATTGGAGCAAATTTATTTGCGATTATTCCCGCGAAAAATCGGTAGTGGAGTACGATGACTTCGAATAGGAAACAAATCCGATGGTAGCGCGGGTTTCGATTCTGTCCAACTCGGCGGGAATAATATTCGATTTGGAATCGGGCCAGCGGTAAAAAGCAGATTTCGAGTATGCGGATCGATGATATTTCACCTGCATATTCGCGTTACCATGCGAAATACGCGAGGGCACGTGGTGTGCTTCGGTTCGCCCGTCACGTGTGCTCTATGCGTAACTCGTCCAATATTTCTAATTTCCGCGTGTTACGTTTAAGGTCCAGAGAAATCGGCGTGCAAAACTCGTGAGTCCACGCTTGTCTATCTATAGTACCGGCCGTATTCTGTCGCGTGATGCAACTTTATAAGCACGAGGTCCTTCGAAATAATTCGGATAGCGCAACGAAAGAATAGCAGAGGCAAACATCGTTCTTCTTTCCCAAACATGTTAAGTATAATGAATTTTTCGAAATATCTATAATGTGATAAGATTATCGATAGCATAGAATAGAAATGTTTGAGGTAGATATAATTTTTCGATAAATATTTCAGGTTTAAAGGAAGAAAAGCTTCGAGTAGCTTCTTATAATATGAGGCTGAAAAATGATAAATAAGATATTTTGACTAAGAAGAACGAAATATTTAAATTATTTGTCAGAATTTGTAATTAATAATTACAATTATTATGTGAATTTTTCAGTTGAAGTAAAAAAGATTGAAAAATGCTGTATTAAAAAGTTGTAAGATGAACGAACGAAATAACGATACAAAAAACCAAAGAAATTAATACAGTACGTACCTATTTCCCACTGGATCCTTTATTTAATTTTATGAATGATTGTATAACGAAGTAAAAAACTTCAATAAGTGTCCCAGACTTTTTTCTTTCAGATTTTTTGAAAGAACACTAAAAAAAAAGAAACAGACTTAAAAGTAAATGCATAGAATTTGATGCGGACAGAAAATCGAAAAAAAAAAAAAAAAAAAAAAAAGATTGAAAATCCAAAAGATTCTGCAACTTTATGCCGCATCCGCAACAACCTTGACGTGGAAGCCTTATTTTTACATCGAGACACACGATGTAAAGGCTTCATGACACCGTACACTTGTATGATTCGTTCAATTACATTAGCTGTCTGTTTAAACCATGACACACAAAAATGGGAAACGAAACATATAGAAATCAAATAGAGAAGTTTCAACAATGAGAGAATACTTTTTGCTCCAATGAAAATACCGATCAAATGCTTGAAAATTCTATAAGAAAAATTACTTCGTTTAATGTCTGGACAAATACTACTTATACAAGGAATCAAATGTAAATATTTATTCATTTTTTTTTATTTAATTGAAATGCAAAACAGAAAATGATTATGCTCCATCTATTCTATTTATTTCTTAAACATTGGAAATAAATTAAAGTTTTTATATGTTATTTTATATATAAATAGTAGTATGATTTCAGTAATAGATTAAGTATGATAATATTAAAATTTAAAAAAAATTGCTTGAAATAATATCTATATTCTCACATTTCAATGAAATTAAAAATACTCGTTTCAAAGTATCATTTGTGTATATTGATTTTTAAAAAGTATATTTGAAATATTATCTTTTTGTTTAATTACTATATATTTCAAAGAAAAAATAATTTACAAAATGACTGAAAGAAACAGAAAAAAAAAAATATTTATTCTTCACTTCAAAATATATTTTCAAAGAAATAAATATTTGATGATGAAAGAGTCGTTTCTCTAAACCTACATCTCGATCAAGAAATCTACGGATCCTTACACGGCCTCGTTTTTACTTCTAAATCACACACGAGCGTCTTTAAATTACTGTCACCATTATCTTATCGTACAGTCCCTTTTACAAAATCGTAAATACTAGTTGCACAGCGTACGAGAGGAACGGCCACGTGCCCCGACGTGTCGTCGCTGTAAATTATTCAAAACCGGCACAATAATGAGTAAGCAACTTATGAGTAGATAAGCCTCGCCTTCCCACTTATTACCATACCTCGACGATGCTAACAAGTAGCGAGCAAACCTTGCTTCGAGAAACTCAATTTTTTCTTTTTCCCAATATTTTACCACGCTTTACATCTACCATAATTCCTTCACTTACGAATAAACCAGTATATTTACTTTTAAATACTTATTTTGTGCAACATGTAAGTAAATATTACATTTTTTCAATCATTTTTTTCACTCGTTCAATTCCGAGTCTGAAAGCAATGTCTGAATTTAATATCTATATTTAAAGTACAATCGCGTCAATATTGTTTTGTATTAATAATTGTCTTTTTATTGGTAATTTTAATTGAAATAATATTGTTTCTATACATTTTATCAATTGATATTTCCATAACATTTTAAAAATCCGCGATAAGAATATAAGGAAAAAAAAAATTGTGACTTGGTTAGAGTTGTTCAAGATGATTTCAAGGTCAAATAAATGGCAGTACAATCTCTGTCTCTCGCAATAATAAATTTTATCTATAAATATTTTTCCAAATTTTTTTCTTAATTATATTCTTTTTTAAATAGCCTTTCTTCTTACATTTCTATAATATAAATTATTTATATCGATAACTTAAATATATATCTATATTTTAGGAAAAAAAAAATTTTTTTTTCTATTTCTCCAGTTATCATCAAATATCTACAGGATATCTACAATATCTATATTTCCACAAATCTAATCTAACGCATTAAGAAAATCCTAATTAATTTATCTCTCATTTACTATCCGCTCAAATAACCATCCACCATCTATAATCTCATTAGCACAAAGCACAAACATAATCGCTCCTCAAAAAGGTTCAACCCAATTCTAACCCAATAACGTGTGAAAAGTAAGTTGCATCCAATACGCTTCGAGACGGACCTTGCTCCAACACGACCAAGGTTCTGATCGATAAAACGGAAGCAACGGAACGTATACGAGACCAAAGGAGCACCGCCAAGGGCGCGGAAGACTCGGGAACGATCAGGATCAGGATAGATGAAGATATCCGGAGGATGGTGTTTCGCGTCGCGACGAGGTCAAAGAGAAGCGAAGAAAGAGAAGGCTGGGCTTGTCGTTTCGCCGCAAACCCGAAAATATCCATGTTGGCCGGTATGTTGAAACCTGGCATAAGCTTTGGCCGGTTGCCAGAAGAGCGGTACTCGGTTGGAGGCCACGCCAGGCCAGAGGCGACCGGCCTCGTCGCTTCGAACGTCCGTCCGTTAGGCCTCCTCGCGAAAAAAGGAGAGGGGAGAAAAAAAAGTGAGGAGGAGAAAAAATAACGAGAAGACCCATAGGCTGTGCCTCGTGTACCGTGGAGCAACGTAGAAATGATGTTTCCAGGAGAATGAGTCGGGCCACAAAACTGATAGTTGACTTATCACCGAATTACCCTTCGGTCACTTTTAATCATTCGTTGACCTTTTTTTTTTTAACTGGACATCTCTGGTTAGAGAACTGGGTTTAGTTCTCTTTTTTTTGGACAAACGTGATAAGCGAGGCATTAGGAAAACTACGTATTCTTTGATACTCTCGATGATAGTTTTATTACGATATTTTTCTTAGACTTTTTATAGATTTTTGTAGATTTTTATAGGTTTTTGTTTTTTTATGACAGAAAAGAAGAACGAAGAATTTTTGTGGAAATTTTTTAAATTTAATTGGTATTTTTATATTTTTGACGGAATATTTATTTAATTTAATACAGATTATTGCTGAAATTTGTTTCTTGAAATGAATTTTTATCTTTATCGATATAAATATTTGATATTATTTCAAAAATTAATTTATAATAATAAAAATGATCTACCGAGTAAAAAAAAATAGATGTGCCTAATTAATAATTTATGAATTTGATTCTAATATAAATTTATAAATTTAGTTTATTTGAACTTTTTTTTTAATCATTTATGAATAAAATTCCAAATAAGAAATTTATATTTCAAATATAATATTGATCCTCGATAAAGTATTTAATATTCTAAAAATATGCTAAATCACACATTTGATTATTATAGCAATTGTAAATAACGATTAATATCAATATTATTCACAAACAATTTAATAAATATCTAAAAATTACCATAAATATTTTAAATAAGGAATTAAAATATCTTATATTAATGGATTTTCTTCATCCGATACATATAACTAATGAAACATCAAAGTATGATTATTTTAAAGGTATTATCAATTAATTCTAAAGCGAGTAACATGCTTGTTATACTGACACACGTGATGAATTCGATTCCACCCACGGTTACTTTTTTCAGATACCCGTAAATTCGCAATTTATTTCTATTTCTGCAATGACAAATGTCAGTCCTTGAGCGAAGCTATGACGTAACGCTTTATCTCAGTGTCAATCTTGAAATTAATGTTCAACTACATCGCGTGAAAGTGTCGTACACGATAATTACGACCAGTAAACTGCTTGGTCATTAAATATGCACCAAAAAATGCCTCTCCCGTGCAATTTAATAGCCGCGATAAATCTCATTTATATCTAAGTAATCGTTTTCAAGTATAATTTTCTCATACGGATTTTCGTATTATCTTAATAATGAGTAATAATTTGAATAACATAATGAATAATAAAAAATTTCTTTGTTAAAAAAATATTAATTTTTTTCTAATATATATATATATATATATATATATATATATATATGTATATATAAATATATATTTGTATATTTGTATGTTTATATATAGTGAAATTATAAGAACGCCGTCTTATCAAATTTATAAAACATGGATCAAAGATAAGCTAAATGCGATAACTATAATACATACGATAATCATAAAAGCAATCGACGGATAGTCTGAAATTTTTAAACGAGTTTATGATGAAGCGCCATAACAGAAAAACTTGAGTATGAAAATATTGATAACGATAATAGATTTTCTTTTCTGTATGTTTTATTATCTTAAAAACCTATTTCGTTTGCGCCTTACAATATCATAACACAATACAAAAAATGACAAAAAAATAAGTATAAATTGACAATTATTGAAATATATAAGTTTAAAGGTAAAATAAATTTTATACAAAAATAGATGAATTTTGTTCAATTACAATTTTTAGTTCAAATAGTAAAATATTATTGAAAATTTAAATATTCAAAACGTACATATATATATATATATCGAAAAATTAATTTTAAAATAATAACGACATAATAATTATAAACTATTTATAATCATTTTTACAATCACTCACTTTAATCGTTTGATGTCACCTTACAATAAAACCTATTTCATCACGAACAGCGTATGAAATTGGTTACAAAATTGAATGGGAAGTAAGTCATTACGTTGAGTCAGGGAACTGTCCTTAATTTACCGGTTCTATGTTTCGAATTATTGATACAACGTTGTTAAGATAATTAACTTCTATAAGATTTTCATGCTTTCACTTTCTTTTATACATAGCGACAACAAATAGATTTTAGTCTATTTTTTTTTTATTTTTTTCTTTTCGTTACCAATAGACAAAACTTGAACGAGTGCCGCGATTGCGCAAAGCACAATTACCTGAGCTGGACTCGAACCTTATTCCACAGATAATGCAGCTCAACAAGAAATTCAAATTATTCGTTTCTTGAAATATACTTGTCTAATTTACATTTTACACGTCATACGATATAAATTGATATGCAAATTAATTATAATAAAAAAAATATTGACGTTTCAAGAAAAAACGATGATAAGCTTAGAATAATCGTTTAAGTTAATTATTAAGTCAATTTAACAACTGAACAATTATCAAAGTTTGATATAATTTCACTTATAAAGCTGACGTAAAACTATAAATGTCAATAAGATACTATTGAATGGCAAACTAAATAAATACTACGCAACTAATATTTTATTTCACTCTTCCTCCTTTAATATCATTGCCCCACTCTATTCTTTTCATAAACTTGAAAGAACACGCATTTTTAAAAGCTCAAAACAATAAAACATGAAATATTAAATATTAATATCAATAAATTGAAACATAATCCAAGGAGAAAACAATCATACAAATAATTAACTTTCGATAAGTATAAATTAATAATTTTAATATAAAATTGTCAATTATATCGAATTTATTATTTCGAATTTACCACATGGCATTAAAAACGTATGTTCCATGGTCAAATCGGAAAGGTTAGTAAATCGTTTCGTAAAATAGTCGTATTGAGCTGAACTAAACCGAACATATAGATTGAGCAAGTGAAAGTGAGGTTAGGTTGGTAGCATCACGTGGTGCACCACGGGGTCCAAACGAGGTTAATCGAGAGACCAAGAACCGAGCGCCGGCGCAACCAATGAACATCAAATGTGTACTTACTATTCTATATTCCTTTTTTTACAGCCAATTATAACGAAATTTTTTAAAAAAACTTTTGTTTTTCACATTTTTTAGTATATTATTGAGTATCAATGAAGAAAAACAAAAAATAAATAAAGAAAAACAAAAAAAGTAAAAAGTTTAAATATTACAATGAAAATTCATATTCAAAAAAAATATCTATGACAAAGTGATTCGTCAATGCATTCAAAGGAAAAAACATGTTTGTTCATATTCGTTCGATCGCCGCTAGTCAGCGCTGAAGTAGTATTTGCGCGAATTTCGAAGAAAAGAAAAAATGCGCGTTCTAACAAGATGAAAGAGCTGGGGGAGGAGGGGAGATTATCGAGCCTATATAGTAAGATATTCTAAAAAAAATTATATCTTACAAATTAGATAGGATTATAATGATACTTACCAATCAATGGAAAAATACTAGGTTGATCGAGCAGCGACTTGAGACTGTTTTCAACAAGAGTGGGAGAAGAACGATCCTTGTCACTCATTTCACGCACTGCGCCACGAAGCCGCACGTTCTGAAGGTACACACGCACACACAATCCGTTCGTATACGGAACACCGCACGAAAGAACGAACGACAGATATAGATAGACTTTCTACGTGTATACACGGAAACTAAAAGTGTGTACGCGGAGCAGAAACAGCACACACACGAATGTAACAAAGTAATAACAACGAGCACGCAGGCAACGAGAACGATGTGCCTCCCGTGGGACACAATTAAATGACGTTCTTCCAGACCGGCAGAGAGAAAAGGCGCCCGCACCCAAACCTCTCACCTCGTCACGCTGTTTCTACTATCACCCGAGACGGTCGCGGCCCGTTCGAACACTCTGGCCACGTTAAAATAAACGCGGAGCGCTACCCAGTGCACGGTGTTCTTGAAAATCAATCTAAAAGTGGATCGGTTAGTGGCGCAATCTCCTGGCTATCCTCTGGACCGACTCGCGAACAAGTGAACGACGCCTGCCGTTCTGATAACGAACACTGTCTGTACTTCTGCCTTATCGCGATGCGCGCGCATTCATCCGCCCTCCCCCTCCCCCCTCTTTATAACATGGTTTCTTGACCATCATCAGCAGTTTTCGTGAAATCTTTAATCTTGCAATGTTTTTTTCTTTTTCTATTATTTCAGATTATACGAATACGAATTTTCAAATACGATCGTATAAACGATATATAATTTTTCTTATATTTTTCTATTAGATTTTCTTTGTGAATTTGTTAATTCAGTGTTAATTGTGATTCGAAATCAAAAAGGCTATTTTCATTCATTTTTCTTTTTGAATTTAAAGAGATTCTTTTTTATTTATAGATTATTAACAATAAACAATTGTACTATAATTGATTGCAATACATCTTACAGAATCTAGATAATTTTAGATAATTTTTTGATATATGATGTACATAACAAAAAATAATGATAGATTTATAAATTTGTTATTAAATAAATTTGTTATTAAATAATGAAAATAAGATGTATAAGAATATACAGAAAAAATGTAAAATTATTAAAAATTAATAAATATATTGTTGATCAAATTGATTGCCACGTGCAAATGAAAATTAAATTTATATTTAGAGAAATATATATTTGAAACAGATATCATCAGAATTATCAAAGCAATTATAAATGATAATAAATAAAAATCTAATAATTATATGATTACAAATGATTATTTTACGATTAAAAAAAACTTTTGAAATATTGCTCAATACTTTACTATACTTATCATCATGCTTTATATACAAATCCATGGAAAACAAAAACAGAGTACAATTTTAATGACTTGTGTTGATAATAATACTTTTAAGTACAAAATTGAACACTGTTGTGGAAGTTGAAATTGTTTGACATATTTTTAAGTATCTAAAAAGTATAATATTAATATAACATATTAATATTTGATATGTTTGTCAATTATTTTTGATAATACAAATGTTGAAGATATTTTTTATAAAATATTTTGCACATAACTATCAAGAATTATGTACATTTCTCCTATTAAATTAAATGTATTAAATGTAAAAATACTAACTACACTTACATACATATTAACCTTCTAACAAAGCTCTGATAAAATTTGTATTCTCTAAATTATTGCATCAAACTTAAAAAATCAATATTAAATAAATAAGAAATGAAAAAATATTTTAAAATAATATATTAATTATTTATATTATCTTCACTCTTAAACTGTTTTAAAATTTTTTTTTGAAAATTAAAATTTATTGAAAAAAAACAAATAAGATGCAAATTGAATGGAGAATATTTAAAAAAAAAAAAAAAAAAAAAAAAAGAATTACATTATATAAATACTATTGTACTATCCATGTTTGATCATTTGTTTGTTCACATTTCAATGTACCAAAAGTACATTCACCAGAGCTATCTCATTTAGAAAGTATGTATATCGCTCATAGAATCATTTAAACCCAAACACTTAAAGATTCGGTGGCAGTTTGGGAAATAAAACTATTACGCTGTTTATTAAAAAGAGCTTGAATTTCAGCTGGAGTTGATGACCATCTACGATGTCTGGCTTTTTCTACAGATATCTCAGGTAAACCCACTTCCTGATAACCTTTTATAGGAGAGATTGATAATGCATTAGGTAAACCAATTTCTTGAAAAGAACTCATGGAAGAAAATCCACTTTCATCCTCAACACTGCTTACGCTAGCTGCTGGCTTTGATTTTGAAGACTTGTCTTTTTCCTTTTCTGCTTTTCTATCATGCTTATTTGGCGTTGATGTTGGTGTACATGAGAAAATATGATCATTTGGCATAGAAACAGTAAAGCAATTATTATTATTTGAAAGTACATCTTCTTCTTCAGTGGTTTTGCTACTTCCTGAGTTAAGTGAAGTGGCATCGAGAGATCTTCTAATACCGGGAAGAAGATTCTGCAAATTTTGATCAATTTCTGTAATATTCGATGATGATTTAAAAAAACAGATTCTATTATCATTATCAGTATTGTTCGATTCATTTCCACGATTGCAATTGGAACGTATATTATAAATGCCATCTTCCCGTAAACTCGTGGAATTTATAAAGCTACCATTCTGCAATGATAGTGATATCTCGTTATGATGGTTATTATGACGATGATGATCTATAGGCGAAGGAGAATTATTTTCTATCGACAGAATTCTAAAAAGATCGGGCTCTCTCATTGATAGCAACGATTGAACGGTCCTCATTAACCTGAAATAATTAATTTATATTATTTTAAAATATCAATAATAATTATATATTAATAGTAATTATACATAAAATTATTTCAAAAAAGTATATAGTTACTAACCTGAATGCTTCTTGAGATAATTTTTCAGGTGGTATATCATTCGGATCAATCTCTGATTGTTTGGGTCTTCTATAAATAATACCGTCATGAGATTTATTGAGATCTTGAGATTTATTACGTGGAGGAGTACAGTGTGTCGGATCATTTCTACGAAGCATTGACCAGGTAAATTCACGATAGCTCGTGGTACATGGTGAGATTTGTGTGACTGATTTCGCCCTCATGAAATGAGAGGAAGATGTTGCTGAAACAGCGCGATTCGGTGAGGAATCCGCATGAACGGCATGAACACTACGGCTACGTGGAACTCGTCCCATTGAATTCTTATCTTTGAGATTATTCTTCTCATGAAGAATATCCAAGCTTTTACGAGCCCGATCTAGGAAACGTACCACTTGCTCCATTAAAGAACGGTACATTTGTCTATTCGCTTCTGTCTGTAATATTTTTTCCAAATAAATATTTTATTAAATATTTAATATCTATATAATATTTTTATTTATATCATATTTATTATATCATATTTTAAATTTTATTATTTTCTACAGTTTTGCTCATACATGCTTATATATGTTTGATTAAAATTAAAAAATTTTTCACGTAAAATAAAATACCAAAAATAGTACGTGAATATTTTTTTCAAAATCAAACATAAGTATTCGAGAAATGGGAATAAGGTAATCTGGTCGAGGACATCAACAATTTCCTCTTGTAAATCAAGTATGTTAAATGTTGTTCATTGAATACAAACCTGTTTCAGCTGCCATTGCAATGTTTCAACCTGTGTCTGGAGGAAAACACTGTCGATCACTTGTACATGAGGTATTTGATTGCTCGTTAAAGCGTTTTGTAATTTTTGATTCTCTTCTATCAGTGATTGGCATTGCTGAAACAAAAATAATAAAATTAGTTATTTTTTATATTAAATTTCTAACTTTTGATTTATTTATATTTAACGAGGAAAGTGTCCAGGCTCTCGAACAACTTTCCTGAACGTAATAATCGTTTCAAAAGAGTAAAGAAGCATGGATATATATATGTATACGCGTATACAAGGTTTCACCTTGCGTAGGAGATTTTCACACGGTGGAGTGAACACGAATCAAACGTTAAAGCATATATCTGTTTATTGTGTGGACATTGATTTTCCAATAGTGATTTTATTTAAAATAATACTTTGATTTAATAAATTTAAATAGAAAAAGTATAATAATAATTATAATTAATTTCATATTCATTTATTTCATTTCAATTATGAAATTATTATTAAATAAACGCTTAAAACATCTATGAATAGTTACTTCAAAAACTTCAATAATGCCACATCGATGTGGTATTACTCGAATGGGCCTTTTTGTAACATTTGCATATTTCTTTCTTTTCGGTGGCCGAGTCGCGGAGGACAGGAATAAAAGAAGTTCGAAGAAACACGAGGTTTCTGACATTTCCATACAATGGCGGGAAAAATACGGTACGAGTTGCGAGATATCCGGCGATGGGCCATGCTTGATAACGAAGCCAGGACGCGCGAGATGTTGAAAGAATCATGTATTTATCATTTGAATCGGTCGCCATACGTTCCAACTATCGTTGTTATTAAAGTCATTGCCAGAGATTTACTCTTATCAATGATTGGAGTAAAATTGCTAGACATTTCAAAAACTTTTAAATACTGGCTCATTTAACGCTAGAACTACTAACCTACAATATCGCTCGTTTGCAGAATAATGACATAACCTAAAAATTACAATTTTAAGAAAAACAATTTTGAACATTTTGAATTGTATTTTATTATATTTGTTAAAATTTATATCAATTACTACCCTATATAATATAAATTTATTATTTATTTTATGTTAATTTCAAATTAAACAGTTATTTAGTTGATATCATGCAAAAAGATAAAACAAGCCAAGTCCTAATTTCTTCTTATTTATTCTCCTATAAAAACAATTTTTTCTTATTAATCTTTATAGATGTAATCCTTTACCTGATAAAATATTTATCTCCAACAACTATCACAAATCAATAATAATCACACATATCAAACATCATAAATCACATTTTATGCATCATAAATTATTAAATAAATTCATATATGATAGAATCATATATCGATTTCTCTAACAATTGCAGAATCGCAAAAAAATTGGTAATGTTTTTAAGATTAAATAAAATAGTATCGCAAAAAAGGTTAGGACGATGTTTTGTCTATGGTTTCTTTAACTAGGGTTTCTTTCAGTGTCGAGAATCGAAAGCCACATAAGGGAATTTGTACAGAAAGTTGAAATTTTCAGTTAGGGACCTAAGCGGATGGGGTTCCACATGGTCGCTCAGCTTGAACCGTCCACCGGCTGAATACTATCGTGACGTCACTCGCTACGGTCACTGCCTGAATTATTCAGTATTTCTTCGTTTCTACTTGTACACACTAGCTACCTCTTTGTACCTAATAGCCATCTACTATTCAGATAATATTATTATACAGGGTATCACTAATTAATGATACTATCAATAAAGAGATGATTTCTAATAATAATAATTCGAACATTAAATTTATTTTAAAAATAATTAAATTTTAACGTTTTAATAAAAAGTTATAGTAAAATTTTATAAATTATATCTTTTTTATTTCAATTTTTTATATGATATTTTGTATTATTTTATTTTTTTGAATAGTTTATTAATATATTTTAGTAATATATTTTATTAATAATATAAAATATTTCAGGTAAAATGAATAAAGAAATCCCCTAGGACAGAAACGTCTGAGGGAAGTCCTGTCTTAAGCGACAAGAGGGTGCAACTCATGGGGTGCAAGATTCTATATAGTATATGTATGAAAAAATCAATTAAGAAGATTTAGAATAAAACTTGTTATTTTAAGTCTTCTTTTTAATCAATTTTTGCAACAAATATTAACTTTTCAAGGTAATTTTGTATCCAGATTATAATCTAATTGTATAATTTAATTTAATAATCAGGATTTTATTTAATTTTTAGGAATTATATAACATATTAATTTTATCCTTCGAAATCGTAAAACTGTACGAATATTTTCCAAATGAATATATGTACATATAAAACAAAGAAAAAATTTAGAAGAGGTAAATATAATTACAAATAGAAAATTAAACTCGTAAAATGAAACAGATTGCGATAGCACCGATAATAAAAATTAAAATTAAAAAAATTAAAATCCAAAAAAAGTAAAGTTATTAAGGACGATTTTCAAAAGACTTATGCCTGAATGTGAAACGAAATCCAGTGCAACTGATTTAAAACGCATGATCACGGAGGAATCAGAAACGCGATACGATCTAGAAAATATGTGACAGAATGAAGCCGTGTAAGAATAAGAAAGAGAGGAAGACAAATGTGCGAGGAGGAGAGACAAATGCATTAAGGGGTGATTCCAAAATGGCGCACCTCCGCCGTCGAATTTATTTTTGGTGCATTCCAGTCAAACGAATACAGAGAAAGGTCCAACTAACTGGTAACGTGCAGACGATGTTTCGCTAGGAAGATTCGTTCCCATCTTCTTATTGGAATACTCAAATTATTTTTCTTTTTTCCTTTTTCCTCCTCTCTCTCTTTTTCTCGTCTCTCGCCATGCTCTCTTTCCATTTCCGCCGTGGTTACCGCTGCATATTCGAACACCGCGAAAGAAATCTTCGCTACGATGTTTCTTTTCCCGCCTCTCCGAATATTACCGATGAAGAACGATCGTGACCGAACGTGCACGTTTCGTCGATTTTATCGTTCAGTTAATTATTAAAACAAATAACACCAGTAGTAATCGTACTCGTTCATTGACGTTTTTCTTACGGCGAGATTTTTTACTGATAAAATACACATGGGGAACCGTTGGAAACAAGAAGTACTATAATTAATATTCCGATTATTGTTCCGCGGAAAAAGTACATCAATCGAAGCTCGTTAAATAAGAGGACTCTTGGAAATATGTGTTACTGTGTTTACTGTGTGAATTGAAGAAGAGGTTATGTTGAAGCTAGTTTTGTGTTTGATTGATCTTGTATAATATTGGGTTAAATATAATAAAGAGATTGAAGAATAAGATTCGAGTATATTGAAAATAAATAAATATTTATGGATAATATCAATATTTAAAAAACATCTATTACTTATTAATTTAATTCTACAACTTACTTGAATTCTAACCTTACATTCTAATCTTACAAAACATTTTAAATCTATTTTATGGAAATCTTAAAATTTATAAATTGTTAAATTTTTTAGATTTAATAGAATTTTAAATTCCTAACTTTGCTTTTAAATTTTAAAATTAAAATTGATTATCTCCGATATTCTGTCCAAATCATTCTTCAATTTCCGAAGAGGGTACCGGGACGATGTTCGAATTAAAGTGTATAATTACGTGTTTTGTATACTAGATGAGCCTGTATATTCATGGTGCATCAAATCATCGAATTTGCACATCGGTATGATACTCGCGTAAAATGTAATTTCCACGGACAATAAGATGTAGCGACACGCGGATGTGGAATACTAATCACGAGGTCGATGAATCATAAAATCACCGGTTCCTTTACTGAGGATCGATGAATTTAAACATCTAAACATAATGATAACATTTTCCATCGGAATTTTCTTTTTTTAGAGAGCGAAACACATAGCTCTCTGCTTCTTACGCAATCTTTTAGTCTAGTTTTTAGTATTAAAAAAGAAAGAAAAATGGAACAAAGAAAAAAAATTGTTTAAATATATTTAAAGAAAAAATTTTTTTTCTAAGTATTTTTAGATTTTAACAAAATCTGTATATCAAACTAATAATGATGTAATATTATAAATTTTACACATATGAAAATAAAATCGAAGTTTCATTTCTAAGAATGAAAATAATGAAATAACGAAGAATAAAAAAACAAGAGCAATTAAAATGACAGTATTCAGGATTCTAGAGAAAGTTATGATAGGAATATGATAAGATTAAAAAATAAATAAAAACGAAAAGATAAAAAAAATGAACGGAAGTATGGTTAATAGTGTGAATTATTTAAAGAATGCTAAGAAGCTAAGAAGATCAGATATAAACTGTGAGAATGATTTTCAATAACATTATGATATTTTATCTGACTCATATGTAAATAAAATCTAAACAGTTACAGATAATTTAACATGTAACACTTTCGTTGTTTTAATCAATTAATTAACCAATGAATTGATTGGTATATGTTACAAATTGCTAAAAAAAGAACCGTTTTGAAAACTAAACGATATCGAAGGATACATGTATGGTAAAAACATATCAGTTAGCAATAATTGAAAGTAAATTGAATTCTCAGACGATGAAAAGTTTCGAGTAATTAACTGATTGCTCCACGCATCTGTTTTATAATAAAAATTGGATCAATATAACAAAATAATATATTATTATAACTGAAATTTAAAAATTTAAAAAAATTGCAAAAATTCAACAAAGTTTGAAGATTTCGAAATTGATATATTCTATAATTTATGAATACGTGCAAAAAGTAAAGAATTCAAATATATAACAATTTAAAAATCTCAAAGATGAAAAAATATAATAATTTAAAGATACAAGAGTTTTATCTAGCTTCAACAAAATAACTTCATTCCAAACTTTATTAATATCCCTGGTCCTTCAAACTTTAAATCAAGTGGTATTTAATTTCCAAGTGGATTAAAGTCGAGAATCTTTTTTCGTCTTTGAATGAATGTCTTCCTCTGAATGGCGTTCCATTTGGAACACGATCAGAGACGATCAACTATAGACTTCTCGGTTCTATAGAAATTCGATATGGTTCTCTCTTTTTTCCTCGCGAATGTTGAAAACGCGGCTTTTGCAGTCTACGAAAACATTTTCTTCTGTCGCGAACGAAAGGATCGTGAAACATGGAATTGCGCATGGAAGGAGGAATTCAGTAGTGCGGAAAATACGTTCGTCTGCGAAGGAAATTGCAGTCGGCAAACTTTCCTCGATACACATCGACCGCGGTTTCTAACGTAAAAAATCTTCTTTCGAAGCTTATACGCTCTTCATCGATATTCTGTTTAAAAACGAAACACTGATAAACTTTCGTCATTAACCTATTGCAAGTTGAAATTTTTGAATTCATGAATACTTAAAAAGCAAGATTTGAATGCAACTTTTAGTTTGTCTAACAATATAAATTCTACGTTATTCAGAAGTTTCTGAAGTTCGTAGTTTGTAGTAATAGAATAAATATAGAATGTATTTTAGAAGGAAAATTGGATCAATCAAAACTATTTTGATGAAACTTTCTTGAAGGTAATAATAATATTTCAATGGTAAGCTTTTTTTTTTGTTATAATTAAAAACCATAAAAATCTCCTAGAATATACAAGAATCATATATAGGTAATTTTTAAATCCCTAGTGATTAATGACAAAAATAACTAAATGATTAAATAGCACATATAACTATGTAAAAACAATTACATAAATATAACTTGAAGATTAATTTTCTATAAATTTATATAGTAGTAAATCATATTTTATTACATAGTAAATCATGTTTTATAAAGCTTTTGATCATTAGCACATCCATTTATGTAATTTTCTCGAGATTCTTAAACTTCGGGAATTACTAATCAAACGTGAATGATTCTTTCTATAAAACGCGGCAAGGATCTCCCTTGTACCCGATTCCACGATATTCTTGCCAAGCGTATTTTACGATATGATATTTAATATTAAGATCGTTGGACCGTGGACGTTCCTGGAGTATGATATTACATACAGTTGTACTCGTATGTCTCTGCATGACTTCCAATACGAGTTAAGCGATCTCATCCTCGTGAGATCGGAAACATCGAACGACTTGGAATTTTACAGTTATGCATGTATCATTCGACAAACCGTTTCGCACGTTCTATAATTTCCTTGATGACATTACCGATTCATCTTTATGATTTGTCATAAACGTTTATTACTGTTATCGTCGATTATCGATAATAATTTCGCGTAAGAAAAAAAAATAGAAATTATATTAAACTCCGAATCGATTTTTTTTATAAATGTAAATTTAACATTAAAAATATTCGAGAAATTAACAGATCGCGTTCATACAACATTATTCCTTCAATGAATCAATGTATGAATCATGTAGGGCTAATTATCGATAAAAATAAAAATATTCAAAATTTTAATTTAGATAACATTTCAATATCTTTTCTGTATGATCATTAAAGATTTTGTCCAATAATAAGTTATATATTTTATATCTAAGCTTTTAAGAATTCAAAAATTACCCGCGGATTTTAAATTACGCGGTTTATCGGCGCTCCAAATGCGCGCGATATTTAAACATCTATCGTATCCTAAATATAACAAACCTAAATATCAACAATTGCGCTAAATTTAAACATCACCAATTATTAGAGAACAATAATTAAAACTTATCAAAAGCTATAATAACATATCTTTTTTTGTGATTTCAGAACAATCATCATCAGTTTCGCCATAAACGAATCAACAAACTCACAAAAAGGATAGAAAAAACACTGGATGCTGGAATCTAATTCTGTACCTAACTCTCGGCCTTGAGCATCTTCTACATCCCTAACATTCCACATTCCTTTACTTTGAAACACTAAGCGCACGCGATTCCTCGTTTCTTTTATACTTCCTTCTCTGGCAGAATCACGATTTTCTGTCTTTCCATTTTATTCCACTATTCTATACGTTCGATTAACCGGTTTCTTACGATTTCAACGAATTACGTCTAAAATTCCATGGATACAATCTTTCCGTTCCTAGTAACATTCTTTCATATAATCGTCTCCTTTTTACCTACTTTTTTTTACTTATTTTTCCTTTTCTATATTTTCTTCGTTTCATACCTTTTTGCATAGTTCACTACCGAGTCTATCGTTTCTTTCGTTCCTACACGATTTAACGGGCAATTTAGTGTCACGCTGATTTCGCATGACATTCCGTTCGCAGCACGTGGGTCGCTTCGCGATGACCCAACGCGTGTTAAACCGTTCCAGAAGAAGATTAGAACGAACTGCTTCCGTCTTTTTTAAACAGCTTGCGCAATTTTTAGATTAATTTTAGATCGAAGAGGGATCGAAACGCGACAGCTGTTGTTTGAAAGAACGAAAAGAACTCGATTAATCGTTCAATTCCCTCAAATTAAAATGTATTTCTTAACCTCTTTCGAAACCATTTTTCATAAATGTATAAAAATGCATATATATAAAAATATTTTATCAACTAATATATATATGTTTTTGCTATAATTTGCATTATTATTAATTTCAAATGTTAATAAAATGTTTCATATACGTGCACATATATTAGATATTAAGTAAACAAAATTCTCGATTCTTAATACTATTTTCTTATCCTTCCGTTATCTAATTAAATTCGATAAGAAATATTTAAATTGGTTACAAATATTTAAATTGAATACATATCAAATAACAAAAAAACTTGATTATGTTTTTCTCAGTTAGTAAATAATCTCGTCTTATTTTATATATTACAGATTAAATTACAACAAACATGACTACAATTATGATAGTAGAACCGAGATGGAAAGAGCCACTGTATAAACAGCGTGAAAGGAATAACTGCTAGTGTAGGCCGTATTTAAGTCTGTATCATAATGGTGCGATGGCGAAAGGAATATAGACAGGCGAAGAATTAGAATCACGGGCGGCGCGAAATTCCAGTCGCCTTTTTTACGGTCCCCAGATGGAAATAGATGGCGAGAGAAATACAGAGAGAATGAGAGAGAGAGCGCCAAGCTTCGACGAAGAGCGTGAGAAAACGACCTCAGAGTTCACCTCGTTCTAGGCGTCTTAATGCCGCATCCACAATGAATGATTCACGTACAAAAATAACATAGCACTATTTACATTTCATAAACGAACATATATATATATATATAGGAGAAAAAAAAACAAAGAAAAAAAATGATAAAAAATATTCGTGTGGATGTTTCGAAATTCCGAAAGTGAAAATTTTTTAAAACTTCTAACTTCCGCTTTGAGCGGTAATCGAGTTTTCTGTATATACACATCCCTATCCTTTTGTCGAGTAATAGACTCCATTGCAGGCTTATTAGTGATTAGAGAGTGATTAGAGAGTAATTCGCTGACTTCAATTGTCAGCCGAACAATTCTATTCAGTACAATCTACACGAGAGGTAGAGAGATAGTTTTAGAGGCGAGTTGAGAAACGATTATAATATATATATATTGAAAGAACAATATCGTGTTTAAAAAAAGTGAAGAAATTAGATTCAAAGAATGTTTGTCAACACGATTTGATAAATAAATGTAAAAAAAGATTAATATAAGAATGGATGAATTAAAAGGATATATAGATGTCAATGTAAAATATGCTGAAAAGAAGCAAAACGAAATAAATGATATATAAAATTACTGCTAAAAAAATAGAAAAATTATAAATTATTGATAGTTCTAATTTTTTCCTCCGTATCATGATAATGTCGTACGAAATGAAAAAGTTAGAAAAGAAATGGAATTAAGGAAAACAGAAAAAGAAAGAGGAAGTAAGTAATATATATTAATAAATAATTAATCAGAGATTAAAATAGATCCTTGCTAATAGACCGAAAATAATTTCTTTAAATATTTTTATATTTATAGTGTTCAATAAATAAAATTCTTTAAAATTTTAACTTCGTTTCACTATATATCTTATATTTTATTGCATTCCAGAAAAATAGCCTCAAGTAATTTCCTAAAGAAAATTTTACTTAAAGAAAATGATCAATAAATCTATAGAAGTCTTGTATAACCCCGCAATTAAGAATCCGTGTCCCTAAACTTTTGCCTATAACTGTACCATTTGCATGAAGAATCGGCTATTGCCAACTCCACGACAAGACCTAATCCCCACCTTGTCTATAGAAAGGATCAAAGAACAGCGGTCGAAGAGTCGGCTATTCATCGACTTGTGCAAATCGTTGGTGAACAAAGCTCTCTGTTATTTTAGACCAGTTTTACCTACGTACAGGTACCAGAACATCGGAATGGCAAGAAAGTGAAATTTGAAATATATATATATATAGAATGACTTAAGGTATTCGGTTTAGTGATTTACAATTAAAGTATTTGAAAAGTCGTACATTATCAACTCTGAAATCAACTCTTCTGACAATAAACATTTAAAGAATACGTATATATTATTTATATACGAACATATATTTATAGAAATCATTAACTCTAGAATTAATTTCTCAATATGAAATTCGATTTTCAAGCTTATAAGAAAAAACTATTCAAACATATTTATATAATCTAATTACAACATTATTTAAATTTCATAGCTAAAAAATTTATCAAAAATAATATTGATTATTCATTATTAATCAAAAACGTATACATGAATAAAAGTTTAATATATGACAAACTTTATAATTTATAACAATAGAAATTTCCACTTGCTAATTTCGAGCTTCGAACAAGTAATAAAAATTTCTCATTATAATCATATCCTGGAACACTAATCAGGTAAGAAGAAGAAAGATTTGACCCAAACGGATTACGGGAATTTTCACAACGGGAATATATACGATTGTAGACGAGCGAAAGCGTGCCTCTGCTCGCGGTTCATACATCACGAGAAAGGAACATAGTATCGGTATATATAATGAATAGTAAGTACGTAGTACGTTCATATGCATTTTCTAATGAAATAGCGTGCACAGGGCACGCAGGTTAGGTATCGTTGCATACGATAATTTGTCCTGGCTCAATCCTTACAGGATGATCATTATTCCAGAGCCGTGGACAACTAGGTAGCCTTTCCCGCTTCTATCTGTGCCGCTCGTTAATGAACAAACCATTAATCAAACTCTTCCGGTAGCTATTAATTGATAATAATAAATATTAAATACTATTGGATTTTTTTATATTTTGTGAGAATTTATTTTAATACTAAACTATTTATTAATATGTTGATTTCTGAATATTTTAATTTAAATATTTTGTCATTTTTTTTATCCTTCAAATTTTTTATTTTACAAATTTTATATTATTTTTTTTAAATAGTTTAATATTCGTATATTCAATATTAAAAATTATTAACTTTTCAAATGTTAATATTTGTATTGACATTTATATGTGTATATATATATATATACATATGTAAAATTTATGTTTATAATTCTGAATTTATAAAATGTGGCTCAATAAACTCGAAAGTTTCAAAACGCACCGACATAGTATTTGGATTGAAAAGAAAAATTACGTGCATTGCACTTTGAACTCGTTGAGAATATCACTTGGAAAATGTGAACTTTCTACGAGTGTTCCAATCATGAATAATAAAATCCTTAGAAATTTCACAGTTCAGATCTTTAAATTTACAATCGCCATTATAAAATTTCCAAATAATTTTGTATGCAAGATTTTCTCTATCTTATTTTGAAAACTTCTCACGGACAAGACTGATTTAATTATCATATAGACTCGATTTGATTATTAATTAATTCTTTAGAGATAGATCTTTGAAGACAAATGCAATAATATAATTTTAAAAATAATATATTCTATTAAAAATTACAAAAATTAAAACAAAATATATGAATATAAAAACCAAATCAGTTTAAAAACAAAAATTTAACATGGAAGATCTAAAAGATATTTTTCAAGATTATAATAAAATAATATTTTCTAATATTGTTAACTTTAAAAACGTGGATATTTTTTCATTGAAAAAAAAAATAAAAAAAAGAAAAAAAAATAAACGAAATGTTTTTGTGATGCTATTAAAAAAAAAGATTTTACGGGAAATGAACAATTTTGGTCGACATGTATAAGTGTGTATACTTACATCCTGGTGATCATAGCATCGAAAAAGAGCAGGATGATGACATCACAAAAAAAGGAAACAACGTCCAGGTCATCGTTGCAAATGTACACGTGCAACGTCAACCACGTTTTACGAATTGTATTTTGTGGGTAAAGGTACAAAGCTGGTAACGTGTGGTATCTAGACTGATAATTACGGAAGGGGCTCGAGCGAACTTCCGCTCAATAAAATCTACCCGATGAACAACACTTACTTCGACTGATGTACTTATATATATATATTATATTGCATTCATCTAAATAAAAGATGAAACTTTTTCTCAAAAGTACAATTAATCATCCATTCATGATGAAAACTTTAAAATATTCAAAATTTAATTTCGTTTAACTATTTGTATCTTTTATAAATACCTAAAATTTTTATATTTTTTGATAATATTTAAAGAATAATAGAGATCGAAATTTCATAGAAATTCAAATTAAATAGAATCTGAAAATTTAAAAGTTTAGAAATTCGAAAGTTACGAATATATAAAACTTAATATACTTAAATTGATGCCATATTAATAAATGTAATAAATAAAAAAGTTAGATTAAAATCAGTTGAATTGATATAAATAGTCGTTATTTCGAACATTTCTTCACGACAATAAAAATTATTATTCAACTACTTTTTCATAATGTAAAAGATTACTCGTTGAAACTAATTAAACATACTTATAATTAATATTAAAATGAAGATAAAAAAAATTATAGAAGTTCGTTCTTTCAGAACGAATATGATCTTGAAATCAGAATATCTTACATCTTTGTATATTCTCAAATTACATTTTGCAAAACAATATCCTACTTTTTATAATTAAATACATAATTGATTAAAATTTGAATATTAGGAATAAAATATTTATCATTAATTTAAAAAATGAAATTAAAAAAATGATAAAAATAGAATTATAAGTCTTTTAATACTAAAATATTAAAATAATTAAATCAATCTAGAAATTATATAATTATCAAGGAAAATTAATAATAATAATACTACATTCTCTTAATATTAAAAGTCTTATTAAAGATAAAATTTGCACTAACAAAATGAGAATTTTATAATTTATTATTTTTTTTCTTGATATCATAAATATTTTTTAATCTTATTAAAATATAGTATAATATTAAATAAATATAAAATAGATAAATATTAAATGTGTATGAATTACTAAAAATTTATGTTTTAATAAGAATAAAACTTGTAAAACTAATTGATATTCGTATTCATATTGTAATTTTATATTATATAAAAATAGATAAAATTCAGAAATTAATAGAATCGCTAATTTCATATAATTTAACTATACCGGAAGTTTACAATCTATATGACATTGATCATGTAAAATTAGCTCGGATCTTTTTTATCGATCAAACTGGTGTAACCAGATTTACTATTGAATCTTTCATTGAATCATTTAACCTAACATTTACTTTTAAATTTCATTAGATTTAAAATTTAAATTTAAATTTATATTATATTTAAAAAATTTCTAAACAATAGAGAAATTTAATATTAAATTAAAAAAATTTAATATTTAATACTAAAAATATAATAAATATTCTAAACATTTTTATATCAATTATATATATATATATAATTTTAATTAATTTTTATTTTTAATGTTATTCTCTAGATAATAAATATTTACAATATGAAATAAATATATATATTTTTAATATTTTCTAATATTTAATTATAAAATAAATAATAAATAATAAATAATATATGAACAAAATATTGTATGTTTTTAAATTGAATTTAAACGATTAAAAATATAATATTTTTTTCAACAACATCTTAAATTATATATTTTAAATCTTATAAGATTATATAAGCTTGTGATAATAATAACCCAGAATTCAAAAGCGATGATTCTTGGAAGATTCGGATAACAGTATAAAACAGAAATGTCAAAATAACTGACCTCACTGGTTGTTCACAAAACGTTTATGCAGCTAGTAAGCTGATTTATTTTCAGTATTATTATGGTATCCAATTAAATAGTATTTTTCAATTAGATAATCACTATTTTCGAAACCACAAAACGATTCACAATTTTGAAATTGTTTCGAAGAAATAATCGAAATTATAGTGTTAAAACTTAAAAAAATTGTTTTTTTCAGGTTAGAAAAATCTAATCACAGTACTGCCAAATAACGACACTGTGAAAGTAATTTTTCACGCATGCGCAATTATCATGATTCAATTTCATTTATAAAGAAAATAGTTTTATATAATTTTTATAAAAGTACGTTAAATATTAATACGTTAAATATTAATATAAATATTAATATAATGTTTAAAATTAAGATTAACTACTGCTATTAATATTTGTAAGGATAATTATTAAATAGTACATTAATATATAATTTAAATAATATTTGTATAATATATGAAGTAAAAAATAATATTAATGAATTAATGTGCGAAAAATTATATTTATTATAATTTTTGAGTAAAATGATAAAAAAAGAAAAAAAAACACTTTTATGAAAAATATTATTTTCTACTTTGTAAATACACGTAATAAAAATTATTAATTAAAAATTAAAAATCTCATGCAAACTTTCATAAAACATTTTACTATAATGCAATATATGAAAATATGTAAGTATGAAACAAATATATGATCAATAAAATAAACTTACTTTTCTTAGCTTCTCCAATTCATTAATATCCGCAGAGGATTGAACACTCTGTAAAATAAAAAATATAGATAAGGATCAAAATTATATATAAAAATATTTTATATTTATTAGTCTATAAGTAATTATAATATAATTATTTTTGTTATTATATATATATAGCATGTAACTAATAATCAATATAAGGGATGATTTACATAAAAAATAAAAATATTGTACTAAGATAGTTTATATATAAACGTACTTAATACACACATACATACAAACACATATATTGTATCATATATAAATAATTTATATTTATTATCGTAATATACTAATTTATATTTAAAAAAGTATTTACGTCTAACGAAAAATATATAAATAATTTGATTAATTTAGAAAATAATATTTACTTCTTTTGTTCTTCGAAGGTTGGTATTGTCCTTATTAAAAACATGTTTATTGTCCACAATGTTCGTTATTTTATTTTCAAAATTTACGAGGGAAAAGAAATTATTGTTTTTGGTATTTGTTTCTGTTTCTTCATCAAAAGCGTTGTCAAGAAGCTCATAATCCAATGATTTTGAGTCACGGCAATTCGTCACAAAAGAACGCGCGAAGCTACTTTTGAAGAAGTGTTCCAGCGACACTTCACTTCCAAGTGCAAACTCCACTCTTTGTGTATCGCTCATGATTCTTTAACAAATCTTGCAATCGTTCACAATTACATAAATTTAATCTTTCTAAATTGAGGTTATTCCCTTTCAAAGTATCATTCGAAGACTAAATAATTGCAAAAAAAACGATCTTGTATTCACATTCCGCGAACACTATTAACCAATGATTATAATAAGAAATGATTCTATAATCTTTATTATTTTCACGATTTTCATTTGTTTTCCAAAGCCACGTCGTTTTATATACAAACATTAATAATTTATTTCGCGATGCACATGGAATTAGAAATTGTATAATTATTAAGAAATTTATTACACACAACACTCTCCAAACGGATAGCACGCTTGTGCGTGTCAAACTGACAACGAAACCATTCCGTTCTATGAATCAAAGTCTGAATCTGAACGCTGTATAGTGAACACTGAGAATGAAAACACCTATAAGAATTCATATATTGCACATGCGCTCTACAGAATACAATTTGTTTGATTATATATTAAAATTTCCTAATTTTGTACAGATATATTGTTGGCAAGATATTTTCTATATATTTTATATATATTTATATATTTATATATAAATAATATTAATATTTATCTTAAAATATATTCATAAATGATATTTTACTTATAAAAAATTATGAAATCTATTTCAAAGTAATATTATAAATATAGCATTACATTAACATCAAATAAATTTATTAAAATATAAAAAATATTAATACAATATTAATACAAATTTTATAAAATATTTTTGTTTTTTAAGATATTTTTTTTAATTATTTTAATTAATCGTGTGTCGTTAGATGTCGCTAGTAGTCCATTGATTTTCAATGAAACTTTCCGTTCTATATTGAGTATTTAATGATTTAATAATTATTAAATTATTTAATTATAGTGATATTTTTTTAGTCGTATATAAGGTATAAAAAATAGTAATATATTATGTTTTAAATATATACGCTATTATATTTTATTATTTCTATATAATTTTGTAAATAAATAAATAATATGCATTAAGAATTATTTAAACAAATCGTGTTTTAAATTTTAATTTCCTTTATATTAATCAATTTCGATTATTATAATTGTTAATTAAATATAATATTGTATATTAATAATTTAAATTATTAATTAAAATTAAAAAAATTAATTTTTTGAAAGATTATCTAATAATATTATAACCTCTAATGATCAGATAAAACTTTTTTGCGTGATAAGAAGATAGATTCGTATAATTGCATTAACTTAATATTATTTATGTAAAAAAAAAATTATTTATTTAAAATATATTAAACATTTTAAGAAATGCCACGATTACCATTACATCCTTCATCTGGAACTGGCATTTCTAATTTATGGCCTAAAACAATACGATGTGTTCGTTATGGATGTGCTAATAGACCTTTCTTTCATATTGTTGTTATGAATGTAAGTTTTTATAAATGATTTTCAATTTCAGCTATTACTTTTCATACTATTTAATAAGACTTCATAATACTTAACTTCATACTACTTAATAAGATTTTTTAAGAATAAAATGTTATTTTATATTTATTTTATAATTGTATAATCATATGTACAATTTCACAAAATTATTTATTTTTTATTGTCAATTATGTATATTTTTTTCAACAATTGAGTTTATATAATGTTTTTTTTTATAATATACATAAATTACAAATTTATCTTTTTATATTTATATGGATAAATTTATTGTAAAAAAATTTCTGACAAATTTATCAATATAAATATATAAATATGATATTAATAAATATATAAATATATTTTATTTCAGACTAAATATAAGCAACATAAACCTCCAATAGAACAATTAGGCACATATGATCCCATGCCAAATAAGTATAATGAAAAAATAGTTGCTTTCAATTTTGAACGTATACAATATTGGTTGGGACAAAATGTTAAAGTATCAAAACCAGTAGCAATACTTTTAGGACTTGCAGGTTTTTTTCCAATACATCCAAGGACATATATGACATCATGGAGGAAACGAAGAGCTATTGAAGAAGCTAAAGCAAATGAAACATTAGAATCAGAAACAGAAACAAAAATAGAAGCTATAGGCTAACATCTTTTAGTTATTTTATATTATATATTTAATTTGTAAACAATGTAAGCATTTAAATAAAGTTATTATACAAAATAACATATTAAAAATTGATTTAGTAATGTATTAATAAAATATTAATAAAGAATAAACTAAAATACTTATAATAAAAAAAAAATAAAAAAAATTATAACTTTTAATTTTAATATATTTATATAATAATCCAATATAATAATAATATTATAAGAATTATCGTTTAACATAATACTTAATATAATAATTAAATATTAATATAACAATTATAAATTAATAATTAAATATGCATTGAATATATATTTTAAATATTATAGATTTTGAATATTTTAATATATAGTATAATAATTAATATATAAATTAGATAATATATAATTAGATTAGATTACATTTAAGATATATATTTTATATTTTAAGTATCATATATTTTTAATATATATGAATATTAAAAAAAGAAAAAAAAATAACAAAAAAAAATTTCCCCAGGTGAGGCTCGAACTCACAACCCCGGCATTGCTCACAAATTTACTGTCTTATAAGTACCGTGCGCTAACCGATTGCGCCACTGGGGAGTTGTATCTTCCAATTTCTTATTTATATATATAAAGAAATGAATGAAAAATAATATTCAAAAGAAGTAACTATTAAACATATTTTAATACAATTATTTAAAAAATATAAATATTATAATAGAAAAAAAATTTATTATTTTTATATTTCTAAATATAAATTTTATATAATAATATTGAAAATATAACATAATAAATATATTTAAAATAAATATTTATTGATTTCATTTTGAATACATGTCTTTTAAATATTTAATTATTTTTATATATTATGACAGTAATTTATTAAAAAAAATATTATAAATCTTATGATAATTTATAATTATATAATTTATTCATAAAAGAATAATTTATTATTCCATATTATATATCTTCCTTTTTTAAGTCATTTTTATTTTCATATAAATGAACAGCAGAACATAGATCATTCCATAAATGAATAAGATCTTTTTTCATGATATTTGGTTTGCAAAATTTTTTTAATAAGGAACAATTTTCTTCTGCAAACTTTATTCCTGAAATCATTATAGCGTTATATTTCATATATCATTATAGAGATGAACTATAGTAAATAAAATGTTGTAATCATAATTTATTACCTATTTCTGTAGGAGTTATAGTAAAATGATGTTTAATTCCCCAAAACCGTTCCAAAAATAATATTGACCATTGAAATATTAGATAAACTTGTTTTATATTTTTGACTGAATGTATATATAATAAGATTCCACCATTTTCATCTGTACAATTTTCATAGTTTGCATACATTTTAAATTCTAATGTATCTAGTATTTGTTTTCTAACTATACTTAGTTCATTATATTGTGAAATTGCTAAAAAGAAAAACTTTAATAAGTGTTTTTTGTTATTAAGCAAAAAATTATAAAATTTGAAAAAATACTTGATGTAAGAAGAGAAAAATTTTTCATTTTAGTTATAATCTCTATCCACGGCTCTATCTCCAACATAAAACATTTATTAATGTTTATAAAATGACATGTTATGTCATAAATTTCAAATTTTTTTTCATCCTAAATAAAATAAAAACATAAAAAATCTAATATATAAAAAAATATTTTTATGAGCAATTTAATATACCTCTAATTTTACTGTTAATTCTATATAGAAACTTAACATTTTTGTTGTTAAATATGTTGTATATTTATAAATATTATCATGTAACCATTTCTTGTCAATATTTTTAAAGTTTATACCAGAGACTTGTTGCGAAACTTCACACAATCTATATTCATAGTGTTCTTGTAATTTCTCTTCTGAATTATTAGTAATTTTTGTAGTATTTGGTAAACTGATATAAAAAAATACATATTAATATATATTATATATATTAATATGTAATAATATATATTAATAATAAAAAAATATTGAAATATAATATAAAAAAAGTAATTATAATACAACTTTATTGTAACAATTTGTTGATCCTCTTCTTGTTGTTTTAATTTTTCAATTAAATTGTATGCTTTTATAATGAGCTCTTCTTTTAATTTTTTTAGTGCAATCAATTCAAAATCTTCCATTATTCTAAAACAGTTTTAAATTATAATATATAGTTTATGTTACATAATGTTATATAGTATATTATGTAGTATATAATATAAATATAAATATAATTATCTATTTGAATTTATATTTAAAAAATAATATAAATTTAAATTATTAATATTAATTTAATTAATTTTTATTAATTAATGTATTTATAAATACACAAATTATTATTCATTTCAATATTTTTATTTTCAACTTTAAAATTATTTAATTAGATATAAAAGAAATCGTATATACTATAATATAATCATATAAAAAGCTGTTGAAATAATATTTACAATTTATAAATGATATTTTAAAAATTATAGATAGTATTAATTTTCTTGTACGTAAATTAAAATTATTTTAATTAAAAAATGTAAATTAAATATGTAAAATGTAAATTATTATATATGAGAATTTATAAATTTATAATTTATAATATATTTAGAATTGTATACATAATTTAGTTTGTATTTGTAAGTAACTTATGACATAAAGTTAACCTTAATACAAACATCGTTGTCTATACTAATCCGAAAGTATGTAATTTCATTTTTTACATAGGTAATTACATAGTAATAATTTCTTTATTTTGTATTTATTAAAAAGATTAAAAATCATTTCATTATATTTAATAAATAATCAAATTTATCATTTAACTAACAATTTTATTTAATTATGAAAGATATACATTAATAAAAAAATTTTAATATTTTATTTAATATTTTAAGATTAAAAAACGAAAAAAATTAAATATTGATAAAATGGATGACGAAACCTTAAATAGGTGAGTTTATATTTCATAGAATTTGTATTAATAATTAATATCTGTTAAATTTAATAAATAGGTTGACTGTTATATGTATATATATATACACATTTTATGAATAATCCAATCACAAAATTATAAATTAATATAATGATTAAAATAATAATAGAAATAAAATAATAGAATAATGATATATAAATTATTATATTTTGATGTTTTCTTTATCATTTTTTTATCAAAATTATAATTTTATTTTTAGACTTGCAGTTGAAGCATTATTAGAAGAAGCAAAACTTGGAGCAAAAAGAGCAGAAATAATGGGTCCTAGTGGATGGATAAAACCAAAAGAATGTATTAATAAAAGATTTCTTCATTCAACATTACGGAATGTTGTTCTTTCAAATAAATATCAATTGAAAAGAAAAACTGAAAAGCAGTTGCGTATACCTGAGAATAAATTAAAATAATTAAAAATATAAACTAATTCTACTATTAATGTATTAAACTTTATGTAATATCCTTTTTTTTTTCTTTTATTTAAAATCAAACATCCTAATATTATTGAAATTCATTTTATTTAATAAAGTATTAGTTAAATGTAATTTTTATTAAATTGAATAAATAAAAAAATACATTTAACAAATAATCCCAAAAAACCAATGATTCAATATTTAAATAAAATAATATAGATTTAAAAATTATAAAAACTGTAATATAAATTTATATAAAATTTGAAAAATATACATAATTTAAACTAAATTTTAAATATAAAAATATATGTATATAATAAAGTACATATTTACATAAAATAAAATATATTTATATAAGATATATATAGATATATATAGATATAAGACATATATATTTACATAAAATATAAAATAAGTTAGAAATAAGAAAATCATTAAATTATCCTTTATTTTTTTCTATTAATTATATAAATATATACCAGTTTAACGAAAGAAAGAAATGAAAATAATCATATAATATGTAAATATAAAAGAGAATAGTAAATAGTTTTATTTGTTATTATTTGTTATTCAAAATTTAATTAATTTTTAAAATAAAAACAATAATTTTTTTTTAATTTAAAAATGTGATTCTCTTTATTAGATAAAAATTATAAATACTTTTATGAAAACGGCATTTTAATCTTATAGCATTATATAATATATAAGAAAATCAATTAATAAATAAAACAAATTTGAAATTATTTCGAATAAAATTACTTTATAATTTAAAAAATAATATATATTATATTTTAAAAATATTATGTAATTAAAAATAAATTATAATCCAAATAGCATAATTTTTTTTAACTAACTATATATATTATATATAACTAATTATATATTTAATTATTATTTATTATTTAATTTTAATATAAAAAATAAAATATCGTAAGAAAATAAAATAATTTTAAAAAGTGATAAAAATCATGTAATATCTATAAAAGAAAAATAAAACATATTTTAATTGTACATTTGATTATATTTGTATAATTGGAAACCATGTGGTTATCATTTCCGCTATAGTTTTTTTACGATCGTGAGAAATAGTCGGTTGAAGAAATTGTATTTTTTTCATTTAAAAATATATTATACAAAATAAATATTTATTTATTCATCATGGCAATTAATATAAGAGGACTTTTTAAACTGAATATTTTGCAAACAAAAAATATGTTTTTCAAATCTAATTTTGTAAAAGGTATGTAATATTTAACCTAAATTTAAATTAAGTAGGATTAAATCAGTATAATAAATTTCCATATTATTACAGCATAAATAATAGAAATATATAGATAAAAAATGATTCTAAATATTAATTTTGTAAAAATTTTAAAGATTATATTTTTTATTAATATTTATTTTTTATTTTTTAGTTGGGATCCGATGTCTATACACAGATCAAGATTTAGGTATAACTACGTATGAAAATTCGAGATTCGTATTTCGTAATCAATTTATGACAATAGAAAATACTTTTCGTGAGAGAATGAAGGAAATTTGTGAAAAAGATGATGGAATAATATTTACAGAAGATTTAAAAGCAATGATTCATTTAGCACAACCTAACGAACAAGATATGTCTTTATTAAATGATATGTTAAAAAAATATAGTCAGAAACATGAAGTAAGTAAGATTGGTTCATATGTGTTTGGACCAGTAGTAATGAGAATGTATTATCATCTAAATCAACCACAATATGCTTTACAAGCATTTGAGAATGAAATTTTAAATAATAGTTTTAATTATCGTTCATCTTTTCGTATCTTAATGTGTTTGTTATATAAAAATAATATGTTCGAAGATATGAAAGAGATATATAACAAAGTATTAAGTACTAAAGGTATAGAATTCATTGGCACTAATAGTGTTTTAATATTTGCTGCATGTCTAAAAGAGGTAACAATAATTTTTAATTAGTAATTTTCTATACATAATGATTAACATTTAAAACAAAACTTAAAAAAAAAAACAATTATTTTATTTAGAATACTCCAGAGGCATTGGAATATGCTTTAGATCAGTGGAAGAAACAATTTGATACACTAAAACCTTCAAGAAGAAGTTATGCATTAATATCATATTTAGCAATAAAAAATAATGCATCTGAATTAGCATTAGATATATTAAGTACACTTCAAAGAGAGAAAATTATGAGTGTAAGAAGTCTCAAAATATTGGCATATATGAATCTGCAAAGATATTTACAAATAATTCCTATTTTAAAACAAGCAATAGAAAATAATGTTCAGCAAAAATATTTAATTTTTGCAGATGTGGTAAGATTATATTTTGTTAAAAAAAATTATTAAAAATTTAGCATAATGTCAATATTTATAATTCATAGATGATATTATTTAATTCAATTTTAAATTTTAATATAATTTATTTTTATGTAATGATGATATATAATATATAATAAAATTATTTTTTATTCTTATATTATAGATATATGAATTAGAAGAAAAATTGAAAACACAAAATATAGAAGAATCCTCTCAATTACTTGAGTTAATAAAAGAAGCTAAAAGACTAGAACTTATTCAAACAACAGTAAATTATTTTAAATATATTTCAAAAATTTATATAAATTATATAAATTTATATAAATTTTTATTTTGCTATATTATTAATATATAATTTTTTTTTTTTAAGATAACTTTGGAAGAATTTTTACTAAAACCTATGGTTATTAAAAAGAGATTCAGATTAAATTCTGAAAAAAGATTAAAAAATCAACAACAACATTTTAATCGAGAACGACCGTTCTCGAGAAAAAATGAACTACAAAATTATTTATGATTTTTTTTTCTTACAATTTTCTCATTAACAACAACTTCGTTAAACAATACTTTCCATTTTGCAATGAAGTTGTATTATTATAATAAATCATATAATATGTTAATCATATAATATAATATGTATTATATGTCATGTATGTAGTAATTATATGGGACGTAATTATAAAATAAAATAAATTTAAAAAATCATATAAAATTGTAAGATATGTGTTAAATTATTTTCAAATTTTTATTGTAATTCAATTATAATTTTTATTATTTTTATTAAACTTTATGTATTATTTTTTAATTTAATTTTAATAGTTATTAATTAGAAAAATTATATTCATAAATTGTAGTAAATATTTATAATTCTTGTATAGATTTAAAATTTTGCAATTTGTCAAAATTATATAATATATATATATATATTATTGTATAAAAAAAAGTATATAATATATGAATTTATATATTTACATATTTAAAAAGAAATAAAAAAATATTCTAATATATTCTAATAAAAATTGAAATAAATTGTTTTTAATTTAAAATATGTATATCATAGAAATTATTATATAGAAATAGATCGATAGATATCGATATTTATGATCGATCAATGATTTATGATTAATCGATTTATTCAATTTGGACATGAAAGTATTTTCTTACAAAATTGTGTAAAGATTGTTAATAAGGAATATTTTTAAAAAAAAGAATATGGAAAATAATATGGTATGTATAATTCTGCCAATCAATGTGATTATATTGAAAATCATAATATTTGTAGAGACGATAAAATATGTTGAACGAGAATTAGTAGCTTCGTGGTAGTTGTACCAAGAAAGAAAAGGACGATGCATGATGCTGGCTCAGTTGCGGTACGGGGTTTGAGGAATTGAATGACGTCATGTCTAAAGCGACGCGGCAACGCTAAGCGTCTGCGTGGGTCGACGGGTGTCTGGGCCAGGATCAATAGCGTGCCAGCAACCAGGTAGTAGATGTGAGTGTATGTAGGTTTCTGAACGGTGGCAGTCCAGGAGACGAACCTTTCGAGGTAGGACACTTGACGAGTCGAATACAGTTTCAGTGTCGTACCGGAGAGCGCCATGCCAGTATCATTGCATCACGGAACGCTCATTGCCTAGGATTATCAGCTTCTCCAGGTAAACATATCTTTCATGTCTTTTTTTGTCCTTTAACTTATTTTAAATTAACACTGGGTAATAACAACTTTGAAAGCCACCAAGAGTATTATGTGCAGTAACGATTGAAGGCCACCACCCACAGCCAAACATTCGAAATGGATTAAAATGGATTTAGATCGATTATTATTATTTAAGATAATAGATTTAATCCTGTGTTAATTTATCACATTATTCTAACCATACTGATATTAATGATCGAATATATCTGGTCAATTCTTTTGACGGAAGAAAATATAAATCTAAACTAAAATAAACGAAATCAATAATAAAATCAACGAATAGAGTTCATGGGCAATAGAAAGAATAATATAGACCAATAGAAAAATTGGAAAGAAAAATGGGAATATGGATAGCTAGTAGATAGAATAGAGAAATGAGAAAGTTTGTGGTGGGGATTGTGCGTAACAGATATGGATCCCTCGACTTCTGCATAAAAGTTGGTTACCTAGTTATTACAAAAACATAGATTGTTTTGTTATTACAATTAACGAGTAATTCGTATTTTTCATAATTTTTTCATAAATTTTTCATAATCTTATTCATCTTAGAAGATTCCTTTATTTCTGATATCTTTGCTTATATTAGATATCATAAGCAATTTAGAAAAATATTTAAATTAAGAAAGAAAAGAAAGAAGAAAAATTGTGTATTGTTTTCTGTATATATAAATATCTATCAAATAGAACACAATATTTTTTTGTATCTTTTCTTAAAGCTTGGAGTGAGATATGTTACGGAAGAAGTTGAGCGTATTTTACTTGATTAAAATTAACGCCAGATGGAGGTGTTTAGCTACGGAGGGAAAGCAATTACTTAAAAACACGTCCGCGTATCGAGGATTTGTTTGATAAAGAAATTTGTTCTTTGCTTAAGCGCTCTCGAGGAACAGAAATACAAACACGTTTGTTGTATACATATACGTATATATATATATATATATATATATATCTATACATATACTTATATTTACATGTATATATCCAATGCTGACCTAATTCGTATAGCGTACCATTCGCAATAATCATTTGCCTTTCGCATATCCTGTTTTCAACTTTCAACTTCTCCCGCGATTTGCGTAATTAAATGGAACGTGTGATACATCATATTATTCAATCGACCGTTCCATTTACTTCCTTCGAGAATCAGAGGATATAACAATATATATATATATATATATATATATATATATATATGTTATATTGCATTGAATTTGTAAATTTATTGAATTTATAAAATATTTTAATTAGAGAAGCTCAATAATTTATCGCTTCATCACTTCTTTTAATGAAAGGCTATATTTACTACTTGACTAAAATACTTTTGATATTTTGTCAATATTTATTACGAAAGAATAATTATTCATGAAATAATTTTTATCAACAAAAATTATAAATTGGATTTAATTAATGAATAAAGATTTTAATTTTAACGAATCAAAGATATATAATTTTTTTGACAATTTTCTAATTAATGATAGTTCAATATATTTTTTAACACATATTATTGTTTCTTTTTCAACCTAATATCAGACCTTTTATTTTCGATAATGAACATGCGATTTTATGCATATTTGAGTAGCAAAAAAAACATAAAGCAAGGAAAATAATGTATATAAGGATGGGATAATACGATCAGAAAAACAAAATGCCTTAAATGTATGGTCAGTTGCACCTTGCAGTAGAATAGATCAGTGTGTAGTCAAACGTTCGCCTAGTAGAATAGCTTTGCGGGTAATCAAACAATATTGAATTCTAGAAATTATCTGGCAAATTTTGTTTAATTTTTTTCTCAATTATAATTTCTCTTAATTAATATATTCTATTTAATATTTTAATTTCTTTTGATATTGATATTTATATTTTGATATTTGACAATTTTTTATATTTTAATTTCTTTAAATATTATATAATATTATATATTATATAATAATATTACATATTTTTTAAAGAAAGTTAGAATAAAGTGCTGTATATAATATGAAACGAAGTTTAATTTTATTAATTATTCTAATAGCATTAATAATATTTGATGAATAATATTTTTTAAATATTTTGAAAAAATAAAACAACACAAATCTGTTTAATAATCATCAATCAAGTTTTTAGTTCTTGTGTATATATACACATTGGCTTTATTTCAAATAGACAAATTCCTTCATGTTTATTTTCCGCAAAATGATCTTCCTTTTTGTAATAAATGTCAATCATGTGCTTATATAATTATTTATAAATTATATATACTCATGATTTTATGTCATGAAATAAAATTGATTAATTGGCGATATTGTATTTTTATTCCATATAAACTTTAATCGAACGAAATATGTACTAATAGATTCTATTATTAAAATTATTATTAAAATTATTAAAATTTTAAAAAATTTGGTAAAAACTTTTATATTCTTCAATTTCTTTATTATTATTAATTAAATAATCATTTAATTTTATATTGCAGGCTGCCGCAATGTGGCCTGGAGTATTGAAGTTATTGGTGTTATTAACATTCTTGCTACATCCATCAAGGTATGTTATTCAATAGTTTTATATATTTATATATTTGCTCCATTAATTAATCACATATATTATTATATATTTCTATTCATTGAAATGTGATTCTAAGAATATTTATAATTTATAAGCATGAAATTTAAGATCAGGATTATTATTTAAATATATTTTATATTACTTTATATATAATATTATAATATTTAAATATCCAATTCAAACATTTTTTTATCATTCTTTCACTTATTATTATACATTTTTTAAATCAATTCAATGTATAAAATAAAAATTGATGAAATAACAACTGATTCAATTTTCATTCTTGATTGCAGATGTACGCAAGGAAAGGTGAATTACCGGGAAAAGGAGAAAGAAGTGTTAGACAACATTTTAGGAGGATACGACGCGCGTATCCGGCCCAGCGGAGAAAATGCAACAGGTGAATATGGATAATCTTTTTTTACGTCCATTATTCCTTCCAGTCTTCCTTACAAAAAAAAAAAAAAAAAAAAAAAAAAAAGAAAAGAAAGAAAAAAAAATTGACCAATTATATCGACATTATCAAAGAAATCGAATACAATTAAAGAGACAATGAAACCTAAATTTAATTTAAATAAGCTCAAATAATTGGGCAAAGGATAATTTATTTTGTCAGCTGTGATGCTGATAATAACTATCAATGAAATTCCACTATTTTAATATAATTCAGAGTCCTGCAATATTTAATTGGTTCTTTTATTTAACAAAGAATTCATTAATGCATTTTCTAGTCATTATTAAGTTATCCATATTGCAACTTACAAAAAGATTTGAAAAGTTAGAACAAGTGTCTGAAATTTTTTGCATATATTTCAATGTAATAAACATATCTTTCTTACATATCTGTGTAATTTTACCAAGATTAGTGAATATTTGAATTCCAGTTGAGTTACATATATAAAAAAATATTATTATTTATTGCAACGTATATAATGATATTGTTAGAATTTTATATATTTTTTTAAGATTAATTATTCTAAATTTATACGATCTAATCTTTATTTTTTTCCTTAAAATTAACTTTGATTTAATTCTTTTTTCCTAACAAAAGATAAAAATTTTCCAAATTAATTGAGACTTTAGATGCATTGAGTGAGGCACTTATTATAATTATAATTTACAATTTTGACTAATCAAAAATTTATATTGCCTTAACAAAAATGGATTTTCGCAAAATTTTATGATACTATTATTAAATAATAATAATCTGTTCAAAAGTATGAGGATGCTTGCTCTATTAATTAGTCAAATTAATTAATCAAATTCTCAAGAATTAATTTAAAATTCTTATTATTTATTATCTCCACAATTTTGGATGATAAATCATCATGCATATTACAATGAAACACAGCAAATACAAATACAAGTTTTGTAACACTTTTGTTCACACTAAATACAAGATAAAAATTTTCAAAGAAACCAAACTAAAAAAATTTAATATCAACAATTTACAAATTCCAAAACGAAATATTTTTTAAAAAATATTTTTTAAGTGTCCTCATAGATTCGAACAGTATAACACAATCCAATACCGTTTCGCACAATTCTTATCATAGGGAGGGTGAAGAGAAAGTAAAATTGAATGAAAGCGTATCCACATCCGAGGACACGTATTTATGGGGGTCATTATAGGCTTTACATCTGACGAAGCACGTAAAACGTTTTAAGAACTAAACCGTGACAAAGAGGAGCAAGGTATTATACATTCGAGGTAACATCCCCCTTTGGCAGTATGCCGACAAATTGCAGGCGTGCCCAGTTTCGCAGCGGATCGGTGAAAACAAAAAAGGCAATTGACGACACGACTTTTGTTGAAACGATATTTATTGATAGCTAATGGACAACGACGAGCTGGTACTTTGTCGTTTCATGACGGAGAAACATTTCGCACAATATCACGAATCGGTGTTTGTTGCAATCTTATAACATGCGATACACATACGGATATAATGTGTCTGACTTTTTGATGAGAAACAAACCACTGTATAACTCTTGAACATTTTGTTCAGCTATCTAAGAAATAACTACGTTCTAGACAAATGGAATTCTATACATGACTATGTAATTGGCATAAACCTTCCTTTCTATTTCTGACAATATGTTCAAGTAAAATAATACATTCAAATGCGGTTATTGTGTAAAATGAAAGGAAAATTTAGATCGTTATAGCTTTAGATTTGTGCAATAGCGAATAGTTGAGATTTTTCAATTTGTGTAACTTTTAGAATATGTTGGAAGATTGTTTTGAATAGTTTTTCTTGTCGTTGCAATTATTGATTTTAATTTAGATTTGTTGATAATCTTATTGGTAGTAAGTATGTTTCAAAATATTGAAATAGAAATGGAAATGTGGAGGAATAATGGATAATGGAAAGAACATTTATATGATCTAATAAATTAATATTTATTTTTGTTTTATCTTTTGAGTAATAAAGTTTTGTTATTTTTATTCGTTTATTTTAACTGTTTAAATATCTTCTGATAGATAAGAGTTCAAATTTTATTATTTAAAAATAGAAAAAATATAAATATACGTTTATTATACTGGGAAAAATATTTTTCTACTTGTTCATGTAACTCCACATTCTTCTAGTCTCTTTCAAAGGCAAAATAATTTTATATTGTTAAGCCTCAAATAACTATAAAATAATTTCAAAACATTTAAAAACAATTTAGTTTCTTTAGTTTGAATCAATGTAAAATGACGATTGCAGTATGATATATTCTCACATATTTAGTCTTTGCTTATCCAACAAGAATAATATAATATAATTATATCAATATATCAATTTACATATATTATATATATATTTACTTCCAAAAAAATCTTAACGCAAGGTAGTGTTCAATGGCAATACATAAGATCTTATTGAAAATATTAAAGGATGAAGAAGATGATAGGGTGAAGGTGGAGAAAGAAGGTGAGGGAGGTGGAGGAGGGAAATGATGCTACCTTGCTGAGAAAAAAAGGGATGGTGCCATTTTGGTTAAAAGTGAAGATTTTTTTTTTTCTCCCTCTTTTTTTACTTTTTAATACAAAGAAGTAAATGAAAATATAGACAAAGATATCTCTATTCATATGTACAACATGCATACGTAACAACATATCTGAAAAAAAATTTTATGTTACGCATTCATTATCATTTTTCTTTTTTTAACATTTAAATATCTATTTATATTGAGAATTTCATCGTGAGATTTCTCTTAGTGATATCTGTTATTTTACTTTAATTTTATTCTCTGAAATTTATCATACATATGATATGTATTAAAATTTCTTATTTTCTTTTTTTTTAAATATTCGTACTTTTATGTATTTCCATTAATTTCACTAACAGTTTCTCATTTATGATTTATCCTATTAATCTTTTCATTTCTGTTCATTTGCAATTTTGAAGGATAAATTCGTTAAATCATTTTATTATTCAAGTTTCTTTAAAATTTTTATCAATCATTCCTCGAGTTTTCACATTCAGAATCTCCAACGTTAGAGTTTCGATAAGATCGAACGTATCTCGAAATTAATTTCGATTAATCCTAATTACACGCTCAGGATGTATTCCATCTCACGAGTCTGTCTACTCTCTGTACAAAACACTCTGTAGAATATTAGACAATGGCATTGAACGCCTCGGAAAATTAGACCATGAATTCCTATTGTTCGATAGGTCAGAAAAAGTATAGTATATCGTCGATAATTACACTCGACTTCGTGTACCGCCTCGAGGTTCATGTTGTCACCAATTTTTTTCTTTTTTTTTTTTTTTTTTTTACCATTTCCAGATGCACTCGTTGCCCTTTTCTTTCTTTTTACTTTCATCGGACAAGCATATTTACAGAGCAGTCTCTTCTTCTTTTTCCTCTTTTTTTTTTTTTTTTGGGACCACACCAATTTACGATCACACATAAAGATTCTAATTAGAAACTAGGGAAAAACTGTTTCGTTTCAGATGTAGCTGTGAAAGAAAACTTTACTTTTATTTGTTAATCATTGTCACACGATTGTTTCTTGTACTATATATTCGAGAAAGGAGGAAAGAATTGATTTACATGTTGGCTTTTATAAATGACAAAGGGGAGGTAAGATAAGTGAATCTGTTTTTTGAATATATGTTAGGGATTGATAAAACAGTATTTTAATAAAATGTGATATAGAGTTAGTTTCATGTTTAATCCTTATAAATAGGAAAATAAAGAATTTTAGTTATATAAAAAGAGGAAGAATATTGTTTATATATTTTAAGATATAATAAAATAGAATAAGATAGGAGAGAATTTTAATACAATTAATTAAATTGAATAAATAAATAGAAGGAGATCGCTTCATGTGTATTTTAATTCAATTATAAAAAGTAATTAATATAAAAGGAATATAAAAGGAAAATAATTGTTTTTTTAAATTTATATTTTGACATATGAGTAAGGGGAATTAATTGAAAGACTAGATAAACATTTTAGATGTGAAGTTCGTATAATTACACACTTATAATTACACTATAGTAAGTATAAGTACACTATAGTTACATATTTTACAGGATGTTTCATGAAATGTGAATAATAATTTGAATCTTGGAAGATAAAGAAAGAAAAAATATTTAGGATTTTAGAATACCTTATAAAATGAAATATTTAAAATATTTTTTTAATTATCGATCAGAAATTTCTCTTTCCTTTATTTCAATTTAAATTAGTATTCATTTATAAAATATTTTCTAACAAAACGCATTGGCATAGAAATAAAATAAATTATTATTTTCAAAAGTTTCATTATCGCCTCAACAAAACTAAACTACTTTTATCTAAAGACAATAATGAAACATCCTGTACACTTTAAAAGTCTTCTATTCTTAATGTGACAACCTAATTACCAAATCTCTTTTGGTCTCTGTGTGTACCTCGTATCGTTTATTACCCGTCACAGCACTTCACCCCGTAGCTTCCAAACGTATTAGACATTTTGGCTCCCTCATTCCGTGTTAGAGACTTACACAATCTACTTTTTCTATATCGATATTTCTTACAACAGAGCGTATTCGTTTCCTCGATGAAAAAATGAAAGAAGATTACTCTCTTTGATAAACGTTTCCGTGTTCGCTCGTATACGTGTATTTTTATCAATTCAGCGAATATCGACTTTTAATCGGAGAATTAAATACAAACTCATAATTTGCTCGATGCCTCGTCAATTATCGATTAAGAAAAATTGCACGAAGAATAATCTTATTCGAAGAAAAAAAAAAAAAAGGAACGATTTTAAGATTTTCGTCTATCTAATTTTTCTCCCCAATTTTTCTCCCTTATTAAACGATCCTTGTTGAAAAAAGAAACTACACACGGTCACTCGTCGATTCTTAATTCGAGATAAATCGAGAAAGAAAAAGAACAAAAAAAAAAAAAAAA